GGGGGTCCGGTGGCCGTGGCGGCGGCGTCTGCGGCGGCGGCGGAGGCGCTGGGGATCTCGCCGGAGATGTACCCGACGGAGGACGACCTGGCGTACGAGGAGGAGATCCTGCGCGAGCCGTTCAAGCTCAAGGGGTGGTGGCGCTACCTCGTCGCCCGCGCCGCCGCGCCGTTCGCCAAGCGCGCCGTCATCTACGAGCGCGCGCTCAAGGCGCTCCCGGGGAGCTACAAGCTGTGGCACGCCTACCTCCGCGAGCGCCTCGACCACGCGCGCCCGCACCCCATCTCCCACCACGCCTACGCCTCCCTCAACAACACCTTCGAGCGCGCCCTCGCCACCATGCACAAGATGCCCCGCGTCTGGGTGCTCTACCTCACCTCGCTGCTCGACCAGCGCCTGCTCACGCGCGCGCGCCGCGCCTTCGACCGCGCGCTGCGCGCGCTCCCCGTCACGCAGCACGACCGCATCTGGCCGCTCTACCTCCGCCTCGCCTCGCTCCCGGCCTGCCCCGTCGAGACCTCGCTCCGCGTCTTCCGACGATACCTCCAGTACGACCCCTCCCACGCTGAGGACTTCATCGATTTCCTCATCTCCGCAAACCGCTGGCAGGAGGCCGCCGACCGCCTCGCGTCCGTGCTCAACGATGACGGCTTCCGCTCCGTCAAGGGTAAGACCCAGCACCAGCTCTGGCTTGAGCTCTGCGAAATCCTCACCAAGCATGCCGATGAGGTTGCGGGGCTCAAGGTGGACGCTATACTGCGGGGCGGCATTCGCAAGTTCACCGATGAGGTTGGCAAGCTGTGGACCTCCCTGGCCGATTACTACGTCAGAAGAACCTTGTATGAGAAGGCGAGGGATGTCTTCGAAGAGGGGGTTGCTTCGGTGATGACGGTGCAGGAATTCAGCGTGGTGTTTGAGGCGTACACACAATTCGAGCAGAGTATGCTTGCGGCAAAGCTGGAGGCAGCCGAGGAGGAGGGTGCGGGGAGTGAGGGGGAAGAGGAAGCGGGCAGGAAGAATGGGATGGACAAGCTGTCGAAGAAATTCCTCGCAGATTGCTGGCTGAATGATGAGGATGATACTGATTTGAGGCTGGCAAGGTTTGAGCGGCTGTTGGATCGCCGGCCAGAGCTCCTCAGCAGTGTCCTGCTGCGACAGAATCCGCATAATGTGGAGGAATGGCACAGGTGAGACTCACTTGATTGATCACATTGATTTATTCTTTTTCATGTGTTTTGACAATAGTAAACACTAATTTGCTCTTTAGTTCACTTCATGTACATGCTGTTTATTTTTTCAACATCAACATCTTAACTTAGTAGCATCTCAATATTCCAGCCTAGTAGAACAATTTTGATTTGGATAATTCATGTTAAACCAGCAAACCAAATGTACTGTTACTGCAAAAAGTTTGGTCCCTTCTCATATTTTAGGTGATATATTAAATGACTAATGCAAGACCCCACTGGACTATTACATATGGTTGTAAGTATACGGTCTATGTATTTTTACTGTTTTATTGTAGTTGCAATTTACTGTTTTTGTAGTACATATTTCTTTCCAGCGACAAGTTTTGGATTCTTTAGTGCAGTAAGTGGCTGTGGTAAATTTTAATTCAAAACATGTATACTGTGGAATGTATCAATCTAGTGGCAGGTGTTTTCATTTCTCAGCCTAGCAATGTACTAGTATGTTGGCAGTTCCCTTTTGTGTTTTCCATTCTCATACTTGATGGAATTGGCTAACAATACGATTATGTTTGCAGGAGGGTGAAACTTTTTGAGAAGGATCCTACAAGGCAAGTAGCCACATATGTTGAAGCTGTGAAAACCGTAGACCCTATGAAGGCAGCTGGAAAACCACATACTCTATGGGTGGCATTCGCAAAGATGTATGAGAAACATAATCGTCTAGATAGTGCTGAAGAGATCTTTAAAAAAGCAACACAGGTGAACTACAAGGCAGTTGACCACTTAGCCAGTATTTGGTGTGAGTGGGCAGAGATGGAGCTGAGGCACAGTAATTTTGACAAGGCTATTGAGCTGATGAGGCAAGCTACTGCAGAACCCTCTGTTGAGGTTAAGAGGCGAGGTATATATATATATATATATTTACCATCTTATTTTTTGTTGTGTGTTTTACTGTTCATATTTTCTAACAGTAATGCAATATGTCCTGTGCAGCTGCTGCTGAGGGGGATGAACCTGTCCAATTGAAAGTACATAAATCCCTGAAACTGTGGAGCTTCTATGTGGACCTGGAGGAAAGTCTTGGAACATTGGAATCAACTCGTGCAGTTTATGAGAGAATATTGGATTTACGAATTGCCACTCCCCAAATAGTTCTCAATTATGCATATCTTCTTGAGGTAGGATTATTTGTTAACTCCGCATTTCCAAAATTCGAGTAAACTATTTTATCGTGCATATGCTAATATCATGACATTTCCTCTTTCCACAGGAAAACAAGTATTTCGAAGATGCGTTTAAAGTGTATGAGCGTGGTGTGAAAATTTTTAAATATCCCCATGTTAAAGACATTTGGGTGACCTACCTCACAAAGTTTGTAAGAAGGTATCAGAGAAGCAAGTTAGAGCGGGCAAGAGAACTGTTCGATGAAGCTGTCAAACAGGTAACTAGAATTTCACCCACATGTTTCTTACATATAGTTGTATGCAATGCTTGCATGTAAGCAATATTTGTGGCATGCTGCTGTAGTCACAAAAGAGTAACAGTTTGGATAGAGACACCATCTCCACAACACAATAATTTTGTAAAATCATGAAAGTAGTTATGAATATATCTACATTTAACTTTTGAAACACTGAATGCATGTGTCCCTAAGTACTGTTCTTGTTCACCGGATAAAATGTGCTAAGTTGAATCATGTTTAATCTAGTTGGAGTTGGGACTTGTTTTAGTTAACATGTTACCAAATGCTTTTTGGGTATAACTGGCAATCAGAAATTTTGTCCTTGCTTCATACGAATAAGTTCAGGGCGATTCTTGTTGCGCCTGCTTTCTTCTTCCTTTAAGAACCTTGTCTCTGCTTGCTGATATCATGTCATGCGATATTTTGCATTTGCTTGCTTGCTTGTTTAGATTCCAAACCTTTGGTTGATTATTTCGTGTTCCTTTTTCCTGCATCGATGCTGTTTTGAAAATGATGTTTTTCCTATATTGCTTCAGTACTTACATTTTGTTTTGTTTGATCAGGCTCCTCCACAAGAAAAGAAGGTATTGTATTTGCAGTATGCTAAGCTGGAGGAAGACTATGGCCTTGCGAAACGTGCAATGAATGTATACGACGAAGCTGTAAGGGCTGTTCCTAACAGCGAAAAGATGAGTATGTACGAAATATATATTGCACGGGCTGCGGAGCTATTTGGTGTTCCAAGAACAAGACAGATATATGAGGTGAGTGTGTTATCTTGGTTCTTACTAATACTGGTTATATCGTGTGCTTGTTTTGAGATCCAGTTTTACATTTTGCTGTTTTAAGACAAAATTAATGTGGGTTTTATTACATTCCAACAGCCTTGCCTTTTTTTTTTTTTTTGCTAACTGTTCGTATGAATCAAAGAACTCATTCTGCACTCGCTGTAACAACCCATATACTTATGAAAAATCCAGATACTATTTTTCTGTATAGTATGTTCTAGATTTTAGTTGAGTCACACTTTAGGTATGCACAACTGTAAATGATTCTAACTTTATTCCTTTGTGCTGCAGCAAGCAATTGAATCTGGACTCCCAGACAGAGATGTCATGACAATGTGCATGAAATTTGCAGAACTTGAAAGAAACCTTGGAGAAATTGATCGTGCCCGTGCCATTTATGTCCACGCATCCAACTATGCTGATCCAAACTCTCATCCTGAATTTTGGAATAAATGGAATGAATTTGAGATTCAGCATGGTAACGAAGATACATTCAGGGAGATGCTTCGCATCAAGCGTACTGTGGCTGCTAGCCGCAGTCAGGTATGTCACAAGGGCCAACCTTATAGGCAGTTTGGTATTATCAATGATCATCTTGTGAGTTAGTAAACTAAAATGATGTATTTCGTTTCATGTGCAGACTCATTTCATACTCCCAGAGTACTTGATGCAGAGGGACCAGAGGCTGAACCTCGATGAGGCAGTTGACACTCTGAAACGAGCCGGTGTTCCTGAGGATGAGATGGCTAACCTAGAAAGGCAACTAGCGCCAGGACCTTCCACGGCTCCACCAGCTCCAAGCACTGCTACTGCTCCTGCTAACCGGATGATGAACTTTGTCAGTGCTGGAGTGCAGGCACAGGCTGAGAGCAGCAGCAGGCAACAACAGGCTGCTGCTACTAACAATGAGGACATTGAGCTGCCCGATGAGAGCGACGAGGAGGAAGACGATGTCCAAATTGCGGAGAAGAGTGTTCCCGCTGCGGTGTTTGGAGAGCTCGGCAAGAGAGCTGCAGAGAACAGGGAGGAGGAAAGCTCTGGTGCCCAGGAGAATGAGCAGCTTGGCGCCCTTGAGAGGATTAAGCGAAGGCGTCAATGATCTGCCACTGTCAAGATGCCCACACCATTAGCTGGTGCCCTTAACGATGTTGTAGCTGTAACAACTTGTAAACATGATTTTGAGTGGTGTTTTTGCTCTTGTACAAGAATTTACGGGAGTTATTAATCCGTTGTTGATCTGCGACCATTTTTTCGTGTACTAACTATTGGGTACATTCCCCGCTTTTTATTCCCTCTTTTAGGCTAGAAGGCAATCATGCATGATGCATTATTCAATTCTTTTTCTTTTTTGCGAGGAAACATTATTTGATTTCGAAAGTGTACACTGCTACTGGAGTGTTGAAACCTGAAAAATGGAACTGGGAGACTGCATTTCTGTTGCTGTCTCCTGTGGTTTAGCCTTTCATTTGCAAAGTTATTAGTTGAGCTACGGCTTATAGACCGAGTAATATAATGATGGTGATAGGTGAACAAAACTACAAATTTCGTTAATTCGGATTCTTCCAAGTGAACCAAAATAGTGTATTCCTTTGATCACAAAATAACCATCACAAAACTGTCAGCAATTTTGAGCATATATTTGCAATTTGAGCTCTGAAGGTAATGAGTAGTGGAAAGCATGTACAATTTGATCACAAGGTCTCTCATCTTGATCTATTTATCGTTATCCCTTTCTTTTACCAACTCATTTGTACCAAAAGAATCAATCATATGGCAACTAAAACCCCATATGAAAAAAAAAATCCTGTCGCTCACATCCATGTAGATCACCTGACATAATCTGCACCGTCAAGAAAATGAGCATACTGTGTCCCATTCAGTTTGTTGCTCACATCATCCCAGTTCCTGACAAGGCCTGGAAGAGGACTAGTGTGAATTTTCACCTGCCTGCTGACCAGCTTTCTCACCGGAACTCCGAGGAATTCTTGTACCTGGAACAATGCCTGCATTCATAGAGATGATATTTTAGCAAAGCGAGGGTTATCATTGATCCTTCGTTACAGCATTTGAATATGTTTTAGTACATTTCTGTTGCGGACAATATCCTCGTAGTAGAGGATCATGTGCCGTGTGGTGTTGAAGTGGTCCAAGCAATCTCTGATGTATTTCTCGGCATTTCTGATGTTTGGAATCAGATTTGACACATCCAGCACCGGCTTGAATTTCGCTAATATCTCAGCCTGCTCAGAAAAAATATATAAGCATTTCATTTTTTTTTTCTTCCTTGCCAACATGATTGATAGTGATGTTACATTTCTCTTGGAATGGAAATATGTAGGATTTAAGTTTCACCAAAATATCTATACCAGAAGTCCAGTAGTTGTCTATATTCTATAATATAACCTAATATAAGGGTACAAGTTCGGAAAGGAGGAGCCCTTTTATATGTAGAGAAAATGGCTCCTTCCAAATGCAATATAGTCATTCCTCCAATATTGATACAATATTTCCCATATGCATTCAAATATACTATGGTCATATTTCATCAAAAGTGCACCTAGTATGAAACCATGTTCAATGTGAAAAATATGAACTGAAAATAGTAAGGAGAGGACATAAACTGTTGCATGGATATAACCTCTTCTTTTGAGTGTACATGGGATTTGTGGGTTCCATTCAGCTGCTTCGCATCTCTGTCGTAATCATTAGCCAAAACAGAGATAAGCCTGCGCAATGTATTTCTCCTGAAGAGAAATATCACGGAAACACCCTTCTTGTTTAAATAACTAGCTATATCATCATGATGGTCCATAAACCCCTGGAGAACACAATGATGGCAGTCAAAGCCATGCATAACTTTGTAAGTTGTAGGCATAATTTTACCCATGCAATAATGCTTGATGAATGAGATTGAACACACAAATGCCAACATCAATAATCATAGCTGACCAGTTTGTGTTGTACAACTACAAAGAGCAGCCAGAACATATCATTGGGAATTGCAAGCATATTACCCTGTAGTTCTGTTAAAAATTCTAGCTATACCTCTAAAATTTTAGCAAGCGAATAGACTATATGAACTGGATTGCCCAAGAACAGGACTAGTGCACACTGTCGGTAACTATGGACTATGGTAAGTTTCAGAGAAAGGTGTGCGATTTCTGAAGTTCAATGTAACAGAGAGCTAACCCTCTAATATTCACATGGACCAAGAAAAGCTGAAATATACCTGATTTAGCATCCACTTCAATCCAAATGCAGCCGTGCACTCATTCTTTGCTGCACTGGTGAACCAATCCAAATTATACAATTTGTCAAGGGTCTGTAAGATAGATGAGATATTCTCTCTTCTATCCACCCTGTTAAATATTTCACCATTTGAGCTGATGTTAGGGTGGCTGTTCAGCAAAGTCTCAAACCATCCACTTCCCGACCGTTGCATAGATACAAGCACAAAGGATCGAACCAGATTGCAGGAACACTCTCCCCTATGGAAGAAGGAAAATTTGAAGCAACATGAATCAGAAAATGCACATCCATAACAGGGGCGTACTAAGAGATAATAATTCTACTCTAGAGGAAAATTACCTGCTATAACTCTCAGGTTTCGGAAAGTGCACATAACGCAGCTCCTCATGAGGAAGATGAGGCTTTCGGCAATGAATTTCTGCCTGCACTTCTCCACTGTTCTCCTCAGATCTATTCTCTAGTGTTATCTGGTTAAAGGAGATGTAGCATACATAGAATCCAAATATTGCAATGAGGAAGACAAGAATCGGTCGCGGTGGAAACGGTGCTCCCTTGGAACTTTTAAGTGAATATGGATGCTGCGAATACGAAAACTATGATCAAATATTGTTGCTATCAGATATCAGAGATACAAAACTAGAATCATGCAGTACCATTTTCTTATTGCAATTTGGTACTATATCGGCCGAATTCTGCTTCTTCCGGTTGTCCGCAGCAAACAAGCATCACCATTTGTGGATGAGTGACACTGCATTCTGGTAAGTTACAGATTCTTGCAGTTAGCAACAACTTGCAAAATGAAACCAAGAAAAAAAAGAAACTTAGTGAACCTACAAACGAAGTGCTAATGACAACAATCTGTTCACCGAAACGCTTCAAAAAGAGCAGCAAACAACAATTGGATGGAAATCAAGAACCCTAAATAGAGGGGAAATAAAAAATAAAAACCTCAAGCAGGATTGAGCACCAAAAATGGGGGGGAAAGGAAGGCGCAGACGAGAAAACCCTGAAATGCTCAAACAATGGCTCACCAAGAACTTGCGGCACAAAGAATCCCCAGGAGAGGGAAGAAGTCCGACGCGGTGAAGAGATTCAACTCCAAAATGGCGACCAAAAGAAGAACAAAGATCCAAACCCAGTTACTCCGCTCGAGAAAACCCAGGCGACATTCAGCTTACAAAGCGGCCAAGATTCGGATGCGTAGGCAGAATCAAGCAGGAGAGTGACAAAGATAGGGTTTTGAGGCTTCGGATATTGGTAGAACCATCAAAAATTGGGGGCAAAAAAATAGCAGATGCAACCTAGCAACGAACTTAAAAAATCATATAAAAACGCAAAATATATATAGAAGAAATCACCTTGGTTCGTCAGCGAGAACACACTTTGTTATCTTCTCTCACTATCTCTAGTAGTGACGTTAATGCAGTAGGTTATTAGGACTATTTGGATTTTAAATGGTTTGAAATATGTGGGATGATTAGTAGCTAAGCAAAGGGCTAACACAGAGGCAGCTTTGAACTCAAGATGCAGACGAAGTATTAGGGTGTGTTTAGTTGGGGAAAAGAAAAATTTTGGGTGTAACATCAAACGTTTGACCGGATGTCGGAAGGGATTTTCGGACACGAATGAAAAAACTAATTTCAGAACTCGCCTGGAAACCACGAGACGAATCTTTTGAGACTAATTAAGCCGTCATTAGCACATGTGGGTTACTGTAGCACTTATGGCTAATCACGGACTACTTAGGCTTAAAAGATTTGCCTCGCGATTTTCTCTATAACTGTGCAATTAGTTTTTCTATTTATCTATATTTAATGCTTCATACACGTGTCCAAAGATTCGATGTGATGTTTTTGAGAAAAAATTTTAGGGAACTAAACGGGCCCTAAAAGAAGAGCACGAAGTCAGCATGGGGGGACATATTTCGGTGCACTTGGTCTTTGTGGACCGCGTAAACTTCGGAGTTGGAACTGGTCCTTCTCTCGCTGATTCGCTGAATTTTGTGCAGAGATGGCGATGCTGTTCAACTGAATTTCGCGGAAGGATTTTGTTATATAGGGCATGTTCACTTTGATGTAAAAAAAACCTTAATGCCAAAATTTTAGTATAGTTACCAAAATTTTGGTAGGTTTTCTTTTATATTTATTAAAATTTGACAGCAAACTAAATATAGCTATTTTTTTTAGCAACCTGGCATCAAAGTGAACAGACCTTTACTCTCTTTTTTATCGTTATTGTACGGTAGACATATACGCACGTGTATATCATCAAACACGCATACCTCACTCATATACTTGCAAATGCACACCCTGACTCGTGTATCAGGATTTGAACCTTGGTTGTCATGAAGTCACCACGGGTGCTTCCCAAATTTATTATTTATTACTTGATCATTCAATTGATAAGCCTTCCGTTCTAAAAATGTTATAGTTAAACAAAACTTGCTTGATCTGAAGCTACTAAGGATTGGCAAAAGATTTTCATAGAATTCAAATTCTAGTGAAAATATTTTTTCTTACATTAAACTTGGAAAAGGAAGAAAACTTTCCATATTATTATATTTGTACATTTCATTTTAATCGGAAAATTACCTAGAGGTCTCACCTTTTCTTTATTATTTTTCTTCATTTTTCCTATGGCATTTAAGGGGCCTTCTATTATTTTTGCATGGGTTTCATTTCTATATGATTAGAGAAGGGTACCATTTTAAATCACGCGTTTTCTCCAATCCTATGTTTTCTCTATCACGCAAACCAAAATTTAAAATCACGTGTTTTCTCCAATCCTATGTTTTCTCTATCTTGCAAATCAAAGGGGGCCTAAGAGTGCGGAGATCCTGTGCTGTACTGCATATGCAGTAGGTGCCACTTACAAGTGGGCCCGAAGTAGGTGGGACCCACATGTCAGTGACACCTACTGCAGGTGCGGTCCAGCAGACGATTTGCATCCGGGCCTAAATGTTGCAAGTTCAGGCAGCACTATGACAGCAGCCTGAACCAGGAGCGCTGCTATTTCTTCCAATAATCTGACCGACAACAGAGTGTTCCATCCAGCAAAAACACTGACAAAATCAACAAAGGTCTCACTGACGAGATCAAAGTGGTCTACGTACGAATTAGGTGATGGAATCCCAATCAACAACGGATCTCACCAATCCATTCATACGGAGTAAGCCGGTACAAAAGACAAGTAGGTGTGCATGATCAGAAAGACCAGGACATGATCACAGGAAGGATCCACAGTAGTCCAGTAGGTAACGAGGGCGCCAATGAATCATCAGTTGGAATGTCAAATCACAACTTAATGCTATCCGCAATGGTTGTTTAGTGTCTTTAATAGCACACACAAGTGAGCAACACACGCTACACACAGATCAAGCAACATGATCCTCTTTTTGGAGAAGCCACAGAAAATATGTAGGTAATACGTGTGTTTAGTACCCGTTAAAATTGGAAGTTTGATTGAAATTGGAACGATGTGACGGAAAAATTGAAAGTTTGTGTGTAGGAAAGTTTTGATATGATGGAAAAGTTGGAAGTTTGAAGAAAAAGTTGGGAACTAAACCAGGCTTTTGGCCTCTGATGAAAAGGAGCAGATAAAAGTGTATTCAGGACTTGACAGGATGGATAATGTCAGCAGCTCTAGGGCCTGGGTTGCATTGGTCAAGACTCTCTAACCACACCTCAAGTGAGTCCATGATGGAAGTAGAAAGGTTACCTTTGCTTTATTCAGACTCGGGATTACAAAAAACTGCGAATGCTTAAATCCTCTTATGAAGCAACAATTTTCTGTAGGTTTTGCTTCCTATCAATGAAAACAGGTCTACGATATGTACAAGCAAAAACTAACAGAAACAAGCCAACAAAAGTAAGTGGTGAGGACATATCTGTGAAACAAACAATTGGTAGTGATCATAAACATCGACATGAAAATGATATCCCTGACATCCTGCTAAGAGTAGCATGGCATGAGAACAAAACAATGCCACTTGTTTCAAGAAAATACGCAAATCACCTACCTGAAAGACAGATAACAAAAGGAAAAGGAGTACATGCAAGTTATGTTGTAGTAATAAAAAGAAACTACCTTTTACTGCCAACTGCCAGCAATCTACAAGAACCAGAGAGCCATGCGGTGATGCAACAATGAATTATGCCTCCTTGGAACGCGAAAACCTCAGAGAAATTTCGACATCCCAGCATTCCAAACAAGACCATGCATCACAAAGGCATGGAAACACAAGCACAGAGACAAGGAACCAACACTCATTCCTGTCAATAAACTGGTAATCCAGTAAAAAGAAAAAAAAAAGGCTCTATATGTCTATCAACATCGCACAATAAAGTCAGCTCATTTGGAGATCCGTTCTGTTACAGATTACGTTGTAAAACTTGCTTACATTACAAGTGAGGGCTATGGCTTTTGAAAGGAAGGACGCAAGAGTATGTTACATACTTTACACTATCTATAAGAACGACAACGAAGATGCGGGACAGAGAATTTGAGGAGATCCTCCCCTCACCATCCCTATCGCTCGCTTCCCTTGGATCAGCCAGGACAGAGACTACAACGGACGAAACTGGCTTACGACCAGCATGGCTCTGACTATGGTTCTTGGGGGGTGCTTTGAAATGATCCGTGTCATTGGATGTCGAACCTCGTAAAGGGATGGCTTCTGAGTACGAAATCCTTCTGTTCTTCACCTTCTGAACAGGGCCAGAAGGAAGATTTTCAGTATAATTTTGTGACGTGTTAGTCACTGACCCAGAGTAGACAGGCACAATGCCATTTGCATCAGCTGTTGTTGGAGATAAATCAAATTGGAATACTTCAGTGCACATCCCGGAGTTCAACATGGGACCTGGAAAATAATCAATAGACAGGGTTAACTTCAGTAAATGAAGGACCAAGTCATCAAACTACTTATAACAACTATCAGCCGAGGAATTAAAAGGTTAGGGTCAAAGCTACATCACAAGGCACAAATGTTTCATCACTCTACTAATCCATCAACAAAAAAGAGAATAAGTGCTTCACATATGCACAAATCTAAGTACTACCTCACTACACAATTTAGAAAAACCAGTATATTATTCAATTGTGCCATATGTCCATAAACAGGACATGTGTAATGGAAGAATTTCAGCAAACAAAGGAAATACCTACTTGTGATGGTTATACATGTAAGGTTGAATTCAACTATACAGAGGCAGCTAAGGATATAATCAATTCATTCGATCAGTGACTTTTTGTCCAGAGGAAGTTTATAAGGTCAAACTAAGAGTAAATTGCATTGGTAGTACACAAACTTGTTAGGTGGGTGCAATTTAGTACATAAACTTGTGAAATGCTTGTTTCGATACACAAACTTGTCTAGTTCGTGCGAATGAGGACCAAAATAGCTTGGCAATGTTAATTTTACGAAGCTAATGTTGATTAGGATGTGACGTGCATACGTGTAGTGAGTGTACATAAGACATGCAATATTTATAAATGTGGTCTCTACTTTATCCTTCATCATGAAAGTGATGAATTTCATATATTTCTAACCCTTATATCATTGTTTGTTTTTTTTATCTTTTTCTACGATCACTATATCCATTCTATTTTTATTGAAGAGGTGTATGTCTAATAGCAAACCTTCTCAGATATATGTTTACATAATTTCCTAATGAGCCCCTAAATTAATAAGATTAGCCATGTTGTGTCCTTTTTGCCTTCCTCCGCATGCACCAGACAAATTCAAGCACCAAAACGAGCATTTTACAAGTTCGTGTACCGGCAATGCAATTTACTCGTCAAACTAATGTACATAAATAGTATACTGTACAATAGTAAATTAAATATCATAAAATATACAGAATTAGCAGTAATTCAGAACATAACATTCCAGTCAACAAAATATATGCATTGAGCAGTTAATTATATATGCTGCAATGGTACCTTCTCCAATAGCATACCGCAACGGAAAAAACTACAACATTGAGCTTTTCACAATGGTGACTAAACAATGAACCACTGACCCAAAAGTCTATGATCGCCTCCTATGTATCATGGTATATTGGTAATCATCCACCCGAGTGGCATACTAAACCCACAATAAGTTTACAACTTTACCACGGCAAAAGAACATGTAATATATGCAGATATCTTCTACTTCCAGCACTGAATAAGCACTACATTCATCTATTAAGATCGCTAGCTCTAGCAGATAGTAAGTGTTATACTCCAAACAATTCATCGCACTAAGTGCCACATTGTCCTACAAACACCAACAAGGCATATACAGTATTGTTCATTTAAATTAAATAGGGTGTGCGTGCGACATTATGCAGCATTCTTACCTGACATTGCTTCACTAAACCACTGCGGCAGCATCCCATCATCCTCCCTGTATATGCTTCCATCTCCAGGAGCCAGAGCCATCAGTTCATTCATTCCTTTAGCAGAATCCATGACTTCTCCAGCTTCTAACGGAGCTACATAGCCAGGGATTGCTAAGCTAGTCTCCTCCTTTCCTTGGTTTCCAGAACCCTTCTCGCCATAGTTAGACAAACGGGAAGAGGCTTTCTCACTCGCAACAATGGACTTAATAACCAGATTTCCATTGATCTTCACATGCTTCCCATTCCTCGGCAAATATAACAAAGCTGGCAGCGTTTCGCTTCCATTCTGAGGTACCTTCGGATCAACACCATTTGAGACACTATTTTGTGGCCCTTCAACAGCCAGAATTCTCCCATGATGTGACGGAACAATCGCAGCGCCTTCCCCAGTGTACGCTGCACCATACATCCGATTTACCGCAGGAACCAAACACCCGCAGACCATCATCAAGAACAGCAATCCAAGCAGGCTAACACCTGCAACCTTCTTGGTCTTCCGGGCCTTCTTGGCCGGTGGCTCCGGTGTGGACGCAGGCTGCTGCGTCTTGAGCCGGGGTATCGGCACAAGCGGCACCTGCGAGCCACGCATTGCGTAGGCTGGGTGGATCCATGGCATCGGCAATGGGTAAACCGCAGGGTACATGGGCATTGGCGGCGGTGGCGCGGCGGCACCAGCACCGGCGGCGCCACCCAATTGCTGCTTGAGGGCGGCGTTCTCGGCCGTGACGCAGGAGATCCTGGCGGTGAGGTCGGCGATGGTGGCCTGCATCACCTTCACCTTCCCCTCCAGCTCCTCCACGTACTGCTTCTTCCTCTGCCGCGACTGGTGCGCGCTCTCCCGGTTGCGCACCAGCCGCGCGCGCCGCTTCGCCTCATCATCCTTCCCATCCTTGCCGCCGCCGCCGTCACTCCCGCTCCTCGACGGCGACGACGAATCCGCGGACTCCTCGTTCTTGGAACCCCCGTCGCCGGCCGACGACGTCCCCGCTTCCGGCGATCCGGCGGCCGAGGACGACGACGACGTCGTCACCGGCGGCGGCGCATCCGGCGGGAAGAGATCCACATCGAAGTCGAAGTCCAGATCGTCGAGATCGAAATCCTCCAGCGCGAAGGCGTCATCCCCGAGGGTCGGGAAGTCGGGGAAATCGTCGCCGGGGGGGAAGGGGAGGTCGGCGAAGGGCGCGAGTAGGTCCGGCTCCGCCATGGATCCCGGTCACCGGCGGCGCATACGCGGCGGCGGCGGCGATGGAGGTGGATGGGATCACGGACGCGGTGGTGGTTGCGGAAGCGTGAGGGCTCTGCAATGGAAAAGAGAGCGAAGGTGCGTGATTTGGTCGTAGTCCTCGCGATTTTAGGTCGCCGCGGAGACGAAGCTGCTCCACGCGTCTCGAACCTTCTCTGGGCCTAGTTGGGCCTCAAACATCGGGCCGATTTTGCGGATGGGCCTAGTTATTGAGCCTGATGATAGAGAGAGGGGGGGGGGGGGACAGATGGAAGGCTAATTCGGTTTATAGGATTCCCAAATCAAAGGTACAGGGAAGGTAAAGAATTAGGATGTTAGATGCATCTTATTTCTTAGGAATTTTTCTAAGAGGTCTTATCTCATGATAATAAGAATCATATGGAATAAGCTTGTAAGGCTATAATCCTTAGGTATTTGATAGGATTTTATAGGAATGGAAGGAATGAGGCATATAGGAAAAAAATCCTAATGTTTGAATTCCTACAATAATCCTATAAAAATCCTTTAAACCGAATGAGCCCGAAAGAGAGAGAGATGATGAAGAAGATGAGGTGACATGAAAGTCGCTGACACGTGGATCCCATCTACTGACTTAGCAAGTTAAACCGTGGTCAAACTGTCATGTCAGTAGAAACCACTTCCAAAACGATCGAAGGAGTTGATTTTCACTACTTTCCGAAGACAAAAAAAGCCTTCCGGGAGCGGCGCTATATCCGGTTTTGCAGTTGAGGGAGACGATTTACAGGAGCAAGAGATGAGGGAGACGAAACAGACTTATTTGCCTCTACTAGAACAGCAGCTTAGGCCCAAACAGCGGAGCGAGACCAGTCATGGCGGCGACACTCGCAGGCCGCCGCCTCCTCCTGCAGCGATCCGCGGCGGCGGCGGGGGGGAGGTGGCGGCTGCTGGGGACGGCGGCGGAGGCGTCCTCCTCTCCGGGAGGGAGGGAAGAGGCGGGCGGGGGAGGGGGAGATGAGATCTACCTGAAGAAGCCGGCGGCGGCGGCGGCGGTAACGACGCGGGACGAGACGTCGGTGGCGATGCCGATGTCGTTCATGACGGGGTCGGTGGTGGGGAAGCGGTTCTACCGGGAGGCCACCGTGCGGCGCGCCGACGACGGCAACGGGTGGTCGGTGATGCTCGACTACCGCACCCTCAAGTCGCCGGCGAAGCGGCCGCTCAAGCTGCAGTCGCGGACGCTCGCCATGGCCATCGCCGCCGAGTGGGAGTACCAGGTCATGATCCCCATCTTCTGTTTGATTGGCCCTCGATTGGTTATGCTGCTCAACTGTAGTGTAAGATTACTCAAATTCGGATGGAAGATGGTAAATCAAATGATTCGAAATGGAAATTGGGTGACTAGTAGCGCTTAGGTCGATCTTAATCTTGTAAGTTCAGTTTAACCCAGAACTGTAATGAGTTGCGGAAGGATTTTGTGCAATTTAAATCTATTCAATCAGTGAATCTCGCTTGCCATAGTGTACTATTCAGTGGCAGTGGCATCGATGATTTAGATCGTGCAATTAGAGGTGGTTTTGGCATTACATTTCTTTTCTTTCTCCCTGTTGCGGCTAGAGCAGCTAGAATAACTACAAATATTGTTCAGCTTTAAAGAATAGTTTCCGTTTCATATTGTAAGACTTTCTAGCATTGTCTATACTCATATAGATGTTAATGAATCCAGACACATATACATACCTAGATTCATTAACATCTATATGAATGTGGGAAATGCTAGAAAGTCTTACATTGTGAAACGGGGGAAGTAGCAAAGAAGATGACCAGGACTCCTAATTAATTCGGATACTGGTATTATAGAGTTATTGTTTCAGTAGGATATGAAGAATGCAGCATTTAGAGTTATTTTGTTGTCTGGTTCTTATCTTATCATCCCTATAATAGTACTACCACAAGATGGACTGTATTCAAATTTATCAGGTTGATTCCAGCAGCTAAGTAAAAGCAAACTTCATAAGGCAATTGCGCCTTTGCATTTGCATCACATATTCACATGGCAACCCTTAAAATGTATGTATGTCTGTACTTATATGTTGCGGTGGGTAAACTTAGGAAGTAGTCAGCTGCTCTATACTTCCATATTGCATATGTGAATTAAAAGATCTGTCATGTCATAAGTAATCGGTTTTGTTTGTTCTTTGGTTATATTAGCATCACGGGTGTGCATCCAATTAATATTGATTACTGCCTTCAACTGTAACATATGTTCATGGCTGAATTGCTGCAATCAAACATCATCTATTTTACAAGTGACAGGAGATGTTACAACGAATTCTGTTTACTTGATGTGCTTCTCATCTACACAGCCCAGAATTATATTTGAATTTAACTTCTTTGCAAGTCTCTTCTTTATGTATTTGATTTTCTAGTTTCTTATGTAACATATACTGATACCAAACTTTCTTGACATCATAGGAAGCAGATGGAATCCGGCCTTTTACAATGCCTCTTATGAAGCTTGCTTGCACTGCACTGGAACGAGTTCCATTGACACGAAAAAAAATAATTGATAATTTGATGAAGAAATTCCACCAAGATTTGGTATTCTGCCGTTCACCTGATGATAATGAGCTGACTGTAGGAGTTTATCGTAAGTTGTTTCCTCTTGACTGTGTATGCAATGACGTCCATATGAATTCATAGTGTTGTGAGCATATAACTCCATACATTTTGGTTAGCGATGTCTTCTCTTCATTTCCCTCCAGCAATGTCTTTCTTATGCTTCTTGTGTGTGTGTGTGTGTGTGCAGAAAGACAGAAGGAGAAAATTGACCCTATACTAGACTGGGTAAACACTGAGTTTGGCTTCAAGCCTGTTGTATACACAAGCTTTTTTGGTGGAAAGCAAGATGAAGGGTTAGCTAATGCTGTAGAAACTGTTTTGAAGAATACCACCGACTTTGAGTTGGCATCTATTGATGCTATGGCAGCAGCAGCCCATTCCCTGGTAATCCCTCTCGCAATATTCAGAGGGAAGCTGGGAATTGAGCAGGCAATTGAATTGATCAGACTTGAAGAAGATCACCAGGTTATTCTGCAACCATTGTCTATCTTTATTAAGGCTATTTACTTTTCTCTTGTCTTATGGTGTTTAATTCCCCCAGGTTGATAGATGGGGCTTGGTTGAAGGAGGTCATGATGTTGATATTGCCGATCTCAAAGTGCAAATGTCATCAGCTGTTGTGTTTCTTTTACTTTCATGGCAACTATAGTTACTTATGTAGCGAATCTACGGATCGGTTGGTTTTTTTTTGTTTGATCTCGACTTTCGAGCTTGTATCAACTTTTGTGACGACTGGTAGAATAAGACTTCCCTGCAGATGGTTAATAGGGAGACAGAGCTCCAGAATTTAATCTGTTGGATTCTGGTGTCTCAAACAGTATGTTTGTTAAGATATAAAAACTCAACCTGTGGAATACTTATCATTTTTTTTGTGGAACTATTTTTGCAAGCAGCAACGAATGCTGGCATCTTCCCCGCTGCCACCCTGGCCTCTTGGTCTATCTGGTGCGCCGATGTGGCACCTAGGGTCGGCGCCGACCCTCGAGAGGCACTAGGATGTGTCACATCCACCCAAATTCCCTTATATTATGGGACGAAGGAAGTTCTATTGTTGGCTAGGATAATAGATACTTTATAAATAAATTAACTTATATCAAAACCTTATTAAGAGCTAAGGTAAACTAATAGACCACATACAAAAGTTCTTAAACAGGATAAAAAGTCGCGCAAAACACGATTATGTGGTTAGTCTTTATTGAATGAAATAAAAGTGCGATAATAGTTTGATACATTCTACACACACAAATTAGGGGGAAAATAAAACTGTGTTTGGGATACATTTTGCACACTCGTCGGTGCATATAACTCGTCACGCAAATCAAGCAACTATATATCGAGATGGAAATTCACCTTTTTTTAAAAAAAAATGGAAATTCAATTTGTTTTTTTAAAAAAAACATGCATGTAATGATCAGATGTAGCATTCATAGAGCTTGATGTCCATCTGCAGCCTGAAGTACACCAATCCCTCGACGGCGTCGGTGCGGAGCGTGGCGACGCCGCGGGACATGAAGAAGTCGCCGGTGCCGCCGACGACGGAGATGTCCCTCGTCTTCTCCGACATGAGGTCGGCGCCCATCAGGTTGAGCGTGCCGCGGCGCCCCGTGGAGTTGAACACGACGGAGAAGGCGAACCACGCGTCGTACACCTCCTTGCTGTCGTAGAGGTAGACCCCCTGCGCGCGCGCCGCCGCCGTCTCCCTCAGCGACGACGGCGGCGGCAGCGCCCTCGTCCCCTCCGTCATCGGGTCGTCGAACACCACCACCTCGCCGAAGAAGGTGCCGTTCGGCGACACGGCGGTGGCCAGCGCCGTCGGCTTGGCGGCCGCCGCCGACGTGGAGTTGGCGGTGCTGTTGCTGTAGTCGTAGAGGATGTCGTGGAAGTAGAGCGTCATCTTCTTGCACGGCTCGTCGTAGCTCCTGACGAGCCTCCTGCCGCCGCCGCTACGGCCGCCATTGGCGACGGTCGCCGAGGTGAGGCTGATGACGAGGAAGATGGCGGCGACGATCAGGGAGGGATTGGACCAAGTCGCCATTGCTATCTTGGAGTAGTAAGTTAGTGCAATTAACTCAGCTTAATGAGCTTAATTCACTAACTAGCTGGAGAAGCTAGCTACTCCACTCCACTTAGCAAGTGTTGCTGGCTTAATTTGCTGCAGCTGTGATGGAGCTCGAGTTTTGCATCTCTATTTATAGAGGTGTGAAATGGAATAATATATGCATGTTCATGCCTGGCAAAATGTGTTGCTGTAGGTTCTGAGATTTGCTCTGGTCCAACAACAAGTATCTCAAGGTACCGGTGCTTTACGGTATCAAATCATTTTCGACCGTTGAATCTAACTGGACAGAATGGGTACTGTTAGATCCAATGATCGAAAATGATTTGGTACCGTGAGGTACTGGTAACTCAAAGTACTTTTTGTTGGATCGGAGCAAATCTCATATCCTATAGTTGGTTGGATCAAGAGGGAGTGAGATATAAGCAAAGGCTACTCTATTATATTTATATATTTATATTGTTATTCCCTTCTCTTTACTTTGGACTGTTTGCTCGAATGCTTGATTCTGAATTTCTGATGCTGATGCAGGGTATTGTAACATGTTATTATGAGCAGTATGGAGGTATGCAAAGGCTTCAAGGGAGGGTTACCAGAAAAAAAAATTCTGACAGATCTGGTCGCATGTCTATTAAAATATTATAAGAAATTAGAGTGGGTGAATTAATGAGATCGATGTTACATGTATCTATAGAAGAGGGAGTGCTTAAAGTCGTAAAGGAAGAAAAGTGATCTACGCCTAGCCAATCGCTTAATCTCCTGAAACCCGGCATAATAGCCGGATCCCGGAGGTGAGCTTGTCTAGAAGATTAGCAAATCTGAGCAGTCAAAAATCATTGATGAGATTAGCAAGTTTTTCCCCATGCAATTTAATTTGCGCCAAACCAGATTTAAAAACATAATATAATAATATGTATATAATTAACTATAATTTTTATTTTCATAGATACAATTATGTTTTGTATATAAGAAATTCTAAAAGTAGAAATGGGAACAAAATTTGCAATCGTAAGACATATACTATTATAATATGTTATTTTCAAAATCATTCCAATGGCATAAATTAACTGTTTAGGAGAAAATTGGAGTCATTCCTGCAATAATCCTACAAAATCCTATCTCATAAACAATCTAATTAAATCTCTCTTTTTTATATACAATGTTCTTGTCAACTTTTATTGTTTAATGAAAAGAAGATTTTTATTTTGATTAAACATGCTACCAAGAAGGCGTAGTTCAAAAAGCGTCGCCCGCTCCCGCGTCGTCCTCCCTCATGGGCGACACGGGAGGCGGAAACCGCCGGCGCCGCCTGCTCCCCCCCCCCCCTCCTCCTTCCGCCGCATCGCCGCTGCCCAAGCGGCCATCGGCAAAGCCGCGCGGCCGCAAGGACGGCGGCGGCGGGGCTTCGTCATCTTCGTCTCCCTCTCCCGTCGGCGGTGGAGGGCCGCGCAGTAGACAGTGAAGACCGCCCAGATCCGGGCCGCCGCGGCCGGATCTGGTGGGGAGGCCACCGGCGGAGGGTCGGCGTGAGGTGGCGGCGGCAGCCGGCAGTTGGTGGTGGTGGTGGCAGGGATTGAAGGTGGTGGGGCGGCGGCTGCAGTTGGTGGTGGATCCACCAAATTAAATGAAAATTGATGGCTAGATGTTTTGCTTTTTTCTTAGAATTTGTAAGATTTATTAAAGCGGCACGTGGCAATCTAGGAGCGTTTGTAGGAGTCTCACGTGGTGGCTTTAGAGTGTTTATAGGGAGTTTAATGGACTTTTAGTATATAATAGATAGATTCATTATCAACACATTTGCATAAGGATGTTTATTTAGAAAGAATTTAGCATACAAACTGTGTATATACTCATACAGCTGGTGGTCTGATCTGATGATGGGAGCAGCAACAAATAAATCTATAGGTAGACGAAGCTAGGAGCATCAGATCACCTTGTCAATTGGCTGATCATTTGTCTCCCTGACCAAAGATGTCACATCTTCACTGAAATTTGCATCGACAATAATGAATAGTGTTTGGTACTCCCTCCGTCTTAAAATATAAGCGTTCATAGCTAAAAATACTTATATTTTAGAACGGATGGAGTATATATTATACGACCATGGATGGATGCATCATACGTAGCACTCGTAGAGCTTGATGTCCATCTGCAGCCTGAAGTAGGTGAAGCCCTCGAAAGCGTCGGTGCGGAGGGTGGCGACGCCGCGCGACATGAAGAAGTCGCCGGTGCCGCCCACGACGGAGATGTCCCTCGTCTTCTCGGCGATGATGTCGGCGCCCATGAGGTTGAGCGTGCCGCGGCGCCCCGTGGAGTTGAACACGATGGAGAAGGCGAGCCACGCGTTGAACGCCTCCTTGCTGTTGTAGAGGTAGAGCCCCTGCGCCCTCACCGCCGTCTCCTCCAGCGACGGCGGCAGCGCCCTCCCCTCCGTCACGGGTCGTTGAACACCACCACCTCGCCGAAGAAGGTGCCGCCGGTCGACGGCACGGCGTTGGCCAGCGCCGTCGGCTTGGTGGCCGCCGCCGCCGTGGAGTTGGAGGTGCTGTTGCTGTAGTCGTAGAGGATGTCGTGGAGGTACAGCCTCATCTCCATGCACGGCTCGTCGTAGCTCCTGACGAACCTCCTCCTGCTGCTCCGGCCATGGACGGCGACGCTCGCCGAGGTGAGGCTGAGCAGGAAGATGGTGGCGACGACGATCGTCAGAGACGCCATGGACCAAGTAGCCGTCCGGCGCCCTTGCACTGTTATCCAAGCTTAGCTAGCTAGCTGCAGCTGCCTGTGATTAGGAGCTCGAGATTTGCACTTCTATTTATAGAGATGAGAAATGGTCAGGGTCTTCAGCTATAGCTGTTTGAGAGGGTTCTAGCTATTTGCTTTCATGTACAATTTAGCCGGTATAGCTCCATTTAGCCCGCTATAGCAGTTTTAGAAGCTAACCGCTAAATATCTTAGCCCGCTATTTAAAATATTGAAAATGGTAGGCTGCATGCATGCCAATTATCTGGCAAAATGTCTTTGCAAGCTGGAGTTGTTTGGATCAAGAGGGATAGTGAGACTACCATCATTTCACCTACAACTATTTATTAAAGAAAAAAATAGTTTGTGAATACATTTTTTATATATGCATGTTTAACAATTTGAAAGCCGGTGTCAAAAATAAACTACTACGACAAACTCTAAAATCAACTTCAAAATTAAATTTTAATATTTAAATTTTAGGGTGGCTGAGAGGCAAACCTTAGACTTAGAGGGGCTGAGGCACAACTATAATATTGTCATTCCCTTCGCTTTTCTTGGGGTTTGTTGCTTGAATATTGCTTTGATTCCAATGATGATCTGATGCTGATGCTCATACAGGTTAATTACTGTACGTACATTCATGAACATAGAGGCTGCAAAAGGCTAGCTTCAATGGAGGGTTACCAAAATATATATATTATAAGAAGAGTTGGTGAATTACATGAAAGATAAGAAATGTTACAAAGAAGATGGATCACCTAAAGGAAGAAAACAACAAAGGAATTATGCTAGCCAAGTGCTTGATTGGTTAATTTCTGCAAAACGCCGCCACACACGTGCTTCCACAAAAGTCCATGCAGTCGAAATCATTAGTGAAATCAGGCCTTAATTTCTTCCTTGTTGTGGACCAATCAATCTGATTTGCTTCATCAGGGGGAGGGGTCTAATGGATTTTATTGGGGAGCACGCTAATAAGTTCAACAGTACCAATTACTATTAACAGTAATATTGACCCTGAAATTTCTAATTTCCGATATTAATCGGTATTTCAACCGATAATATTTGGTCACTATGTTCAGTCCAACCCACTAATGGTTTATTTGACCTCACCACCCTACACTTTAGCCCACTCATGGTTTCTGAAATCAAAATCCATATTTGAGTTCATTCCTCTGCTCTTCAGTTCATGCAGCAAATTGTTTTCTTTAGCAGATCATTTCGCTCGTATCAGACGGCTTTCAACAGGTATAAATTTGCGTCTGCTCACATGAACGACGAACAAAATGCAGAACATGGCCTGAAAAAAAAAGAGATCAAAGGGGATCGGAGTCCTCCGACCCCCACTCCAAGTGCAAAGCTGCGAAAATCCATCTGAAAAAGAATCATCAAACTGGAAGAGCGAAGTGTTGATTCATGTTTCGTAGCAGCAGATGATTTTCTCTCGCTTGTCGGTCTGTAGGATTTAAGGAATCAAAATTTCAAACCATGGCATGATGACAAGACAAGTGTAAATTACAGATAGTGTTTGATGGTTTCAGAACTGTCTAGTACTGTTCAGTTATTGGGGATGGTTCAATTTCTTTTAATAATGGAAATTATTTACATCTCAGCCATCTGAGAAAACAAAAATTATCGTGTGATGGGACAGGTCCCCAACTCCTCTAAAAAAGATGGCTAGCTGAATTAAAAGTTTAAAAAAATCACATAAATATTAAGGAGGATTTTTTTAGGTGCTACGCTATCTAAAATGAAGTACAAAGATTACAAAAGTATAGCATCATTGTGCATAGTATTCCCTTCTCCTGTGAGGCAGGTTCAATTCCAACTACCAATTACAAATTGACAATGAAATTAAAATTCTGAAACTTGTAGTTTTTGGTACTTATCAGCATTTCACTTTAAATATTTGGCCATTATGTTCTGAGATTTTCAGTTAAAACCTCTACTGATTCATGCGAACTCTTCCCCCTACCTTTAGGCTTTAGTCCTCTCATGGTTCCTGAAATCAGAATCGATATTTGAGTTCATTCCTGTATTCCTCACTCCTCGCAGTTCGTTTTTTTTTTTCCGAATAAGAACTCCTAGCAGTTCGGCAGTTCGTTGCTTAGCCTCATCTGGAAGACTGGAATGACCGCAAAATAGGTTTTCTGTTTTAACAGATCGTACGGCTTTGAACAGGTTTAATTTGCGTCTGATCAAAATAATGAACGAAGAAAAAAAATTCAGAACGTTAACTGAAAAGAAGGAGACCAAAGGATGTCGGTCTGTCGGAGTTTGAAACTCCAACCCCTTTCCCATCACAAACTCCGTCTCCTCGCTCGCTCCGGTCGCTCCACTCCTAGCTAGTGGTGGAAAAAAAAAAAGCTTAGGCTCATGAGCTCAGCTCGGGCTTGGCTCAACCTTGGTTGGCTTAGCTCGGCTCGTAAGCAAAACGAGCCAAGCCAAGCCTTCTTTTCATCTCATTGCTGAAATGAGCCGAGCCCGAGCTGGCTTGCGAGCAACTTCTTTTGGCTCGCGAGCCTAGACCATCATGTGTTTATATCGATTATTTTATTTTTTTTATGGAGATATTATTTGTCAACTTGAAATTTACCATTAAGATTTTGAAGAATTGAAACTTATTTAAATTTTACATGTTGATGATTGTTCTTGCTTTTTTTTAATAATTATAAAATATATATGAAGAGGTGTTTCAACATGAATGCTAGCCAGGAAACGAGCCGAGCCGAGCCGTGCTCAAGTTTTACTTGTTTCCCTAACTGAGTCGAGCCAAGCCAAGCCTTGTTTGTTGCGAGCCACTGCGAGCCGAGCCGGCTCGTTTCCACCCTTTCGTTGTTCCTTACTCCTTAGACCTTAATCATCCTGCAGAGAAGTTCAGATTGGAGGTGTTGTCCAAGTGCAAAGCAGCGAAATCCATTTGAAAAGGAATCATCAAATATTTTTTTCCTTCCGTTTGTTGAAATAACTGCAAATTGCAATTTATTAAATTCTTTTATTAGATCATTTCACCCGTATCAGACGAATTTTAACAGGTTCAATTTGCGTCTGATCACATGAACGATGAAAAAAAATTGTAGAAAATTACCTTGAGGAAAAAAAAAAGGAGACCAAAGAGGTTCGGAGTTTAAACTCCGGACCCCACTCCTATCGCATACTGCGTCTCCTTTGCAGGGGTACCAAGTGCTAAGCAGTTTAGAGAAGCGTTGATTCATAGCAGCAGCTGATATCCTCTCGTTTGTTGGTCTGTAGTGTTCAAAGAATTAAAATTTCAAATCATGGCAAGACCAAAAGTGTAAATGGCAGACGATGTTTGATGGTTTCATAACTGCCTAGTGCCACTGCTTGGGAAATGTTAATTCTCTTCGCAATGAATCAATAGGAGCACTCTCAATATAATGAATCAGGCTGGAATCTGGATGAATGCTCCTGTTAAACTTCACAAAAAAAATGTTATATGCTTCTAAATGCTCAGTAAATCATGCTACTCTGTATTATACACTGAACTTGGGTTCAATTTTCAGCAAAGTTTGCACTGAACTTTGATTCAGTTTGTTTTGACTCCTCCAGTAAGAAAAAAAGATGCACCCAAATTAAATTGCCGTAAGGAAAGTTGCTATTTGAAAGTGATCATGCGGTTCTCAGTTGATCGGGCAATTGACTGATGAACTTGCGGCGCAGGCACGATCCTCAACGACCAATTTATTAGTGGATTATCTTATCCCAAGAATAATGGAGAAGTATTATATTAGATGAAAATGATTCACATGCAAGCTTTAAACTAATGCACAAAATGATTGCTCGCCACCGACAGCGCAAAAGAACAGCCGGCGGCGTCATCTTGTCAGTCACCTGCTCACCTGTTAATATTCAGAGATCTTCAGTTAAACCCTCTACGGACTCATATGACCTCATCCCACAATCCTTTTAGCCATCTCATGGTTTCTGAAATCAGAATCCATATTTGAGTTCATTCCTCTGCTCTTCTGTTCAGTGATCTACTCTCATCTTGGAATAACACTGAAAATTGCATTTCCTCTTTCTTATAACAGATCATTTCATCCGTATCAGACGGCTTTAATTTAAACGGTATGAATTTTGCGTCTGGGCACCTGAACGACGAACAAAAGAAAACTGCAGAAAATAAGCTGAAAGAGAGAGATCAAAGGGGAGTCGGAGTTTCATCCTCCGAACCCCACCGTTTTATGCTCTAGTTGTGTTTTGGGCTTTTGGCAGTGTTAGCTCTGTTCTTGCCATGGATTTCCAGATGCCGCAATTGACTGATGAACTTGCGGCGCAGGCGCAGCCACGACTGACTGGACAGGTTCAGCACCTAAACAGCCACTGTCCTCTAACAATTCCGAGTTCAATTTTCTACTAAAGCAATTTCTTACTAGTACTTCCACTGTTTGAGGACAAATTTTTTTTCTCTCCCATTTATCCCAAAATAAGGCCTCAGTTCTTTTTTCTCAATTCCAAACTTCAACTTTCCCGTTTACCGTTAGCACACCGAAATTTGTGAAAAATACTCCCTCTGTCCCATTTTAAGTGCAACCATAAGTTTTCGCGCTTAACTTTGATCGTCCGTTTTATTTGAAAAATTTTTATAATTAATATTTTTGTAGTTATAAGATGATAAAATATGAATAGCACTTTACTCGTGACTTATGTTTTCAATTTTTTTTAAGAAAATTTAAATAATACGGACGATCAAAGTTGGACGTAAAAAATCATGGCTACACTGAAAATGGGACGGAGGAAGTAAAGAATAAATGTATTAGGAGTAGATAAATAACTGTATTAGGATTTGATGAAGCGATGATTATTTTAAATTTTCTTTTGGTTTTGGTTTTGTATTGATACATGTGAAATGGATGGAAAAATATTTTTTTTTTGGAACGTGTCCCATCGCCGACAGCGACACGTTAGTACAATCACTGTACTCCTCATTTACGGGACGGCGATAACGTGCCCATTTCGGAAACAGCGTTGCGTGATCACGACTCACAAATCCACACCGAAAAAGCGAGAGAAGAAAACGAGAGTGTTCGTCAAGCTCGCGAATGGGAGGGAAGATGGGCAAGGACGTGGCCGCCGGCGGCGAGAGCAACCGCCGCCCGCCGCCGCCGCCGCCTATGCCGCTGGGCCTGAGGCTCCAGCTGATCGGGCTCTCGGCGGCGATCGACGCGGTGGAGCGGCGCGACGGGACGGTCAACCGCGCGCTCTACTCCGTCCTCGTCGAACACCTGATGAGCGTCCGCGCCGACCCGTCCCCGGACGCCGCCACCGGCGCCGTCCGCTCCTTCGACTTCACCATCGACGCCGCGCGCGGCCTCTGGGCGCGCGTGTTCGCGCCCGCGGCGGCGGCGCAGGCGGCGGCGCCGATGCCGGTGATGGTGTACTACCACGGCGGCGGGTTCGCGCTGTTCTCGCCGGCGGTGGCGCCGTTCGACGGCGTGTGCCGCAGGCTGTGCGGCGACGTTGGCGTCGTCGTCGTCTCCGTCAACTACCGCCTCGCGCCCGAGCACCGCTACCCCGCCGCCTACGACGACGGCGTGGACGCGCTCCGCTTCCTCGACGGGAACGGCATCCCGGGCCTCGACGGCGACGTCGTCCCCGTCGACCTCGCCAGCTGCTTCCTCGCCGGGGAGAGCGCCGGCGGCAACATCGTGCACCAAGTGGCCAACCGCTGGGCGGCCACGTGGCAGCCCACGGCCAAGAACCTCCGCCTCGCTGGGATGATCCCCGTGCAGCCGTACTTCGGCGGCGAGGAGAGGACGCCCTCCGAGCTGGCGCTCGACGGCGTGGCGCCGGTGGTGAACCTCCGGCGGTCGGACTTCTCGTGGAAGGCGTTCCTGCCGGTGGGCGCCGACCGCGACCACCCGGCGGCGCACGTCACCGACGAGAACGCCGAGCTGGCGGAGGCGTTCCCGCCGGCGATGGTGGTGATCGGAGGGTTCGACCCGCTGCAGGACTGGCAGCGGCGGTACGTCGACGTGCTGCGGCGGAAGGGGAAGGCGGTGGAGGTGGCGGAGTTCCCCGACGCCTTCCATGGCTTCTACGGCTTCCCGGAGCTCGCCGACGCCGGCAAGGTCTTGCAGGACATCAAGGTGTTCGTCCAGAGCAACAGGGCGGCGCGCGCCACCGCCTGAATTGAGATTCGAGAGTTTGATCTGCTTCGTACCGTACACGCGTCGTACACTTCATATACTTGAGATTTTGAATTGGGATTTCTGTGATTCAAGGTGAAAGTTTAAGGCCGCAGTTAAAAGTTTCGTATGATTTTATGTTGAAAACTGTATAATTTGAGTATGAAGGTTTTAAGTTTTCATATGAAAGTTTTAAATTTGAATTTGAACGGTTTTTAATTCAAAAATGAAAAATTGAGGTCACAGCTAAGTGTCATGTGAAAGTTGTATGAATTAAGATGAAAGTTGTATGATCATGCATTGCCACCGCGATGAAATTTTGGCATTTCATACGAAGCGAGTGTAAGATCACTTGGCTAAGTTTCATGTGTTGAAAACATGCTCACCCCAACATGTCATAGACTTACTAGGGTGTTCGTATTTGCAGCTAACTATTTTTACCCTTTTTTTAATGGTAGGTGTCATACCCGCTTTATACTGAAAGATGTTGGATCAGTCTTTGGAGATGTTCATACGGATAGAGAGTGGGTTTACACCGGTGCAGTCCTTGGAGATAGTAAGGAGTAAGTGTGGGTACGTATGTAAGTGTTTACCCCCTCCGTCCAAATAAACCAATCCTAACTATTAATCTGGATATATGTGTGTCCAGGTTCATTTTTAGAGTTTGTTTTTTTTTTGACAAATTAGTATGTTTGTACCGTGTTTGGCAAAAATAAAAAATAAAAAAAAGGCATTTGGTATAGAAATTATGTATGAGTCGACGACTCGTAAGAGTACATACCTCCAATAGTTACGCATTCGGGAATGTATTTTCTACACTCAGGTGTATGCATGTAGTTTAAATAGTTATATAAAAATTTCATAAAATTTGATAAGATGGACTACGATAATATAAGATACTACAAACATGTAAGTCTAAATTCGATATACACATGAAAAACAAAAATAATAAATTTTATCTGCGTTGTACGATATCGATTATTATTTTGGTTTATCTAGTTGTAGATCAAATATAATCTTGCATGTTTCTGTATAGATTTATATCATCGTAATTAATGTTACTAAATTTTTTCTATAAGTATTTAAGTCGTATGTAAATGATGGGTGCTATGGCATTTAGGCGTAGAAAATCCTTGTTCTTACCCATCCTTACTCACACTCTGTTTTTCATCAAACAGTGTAGGCCTAGTGTAATTCAAAATCAGCCTAATACTATCTGGGATTTTTCAGGATATTGCTCCTGTTAAACTTCAAAATCCCATGTCAGACGCTTCTAAATGTTCAGTAAACTAAGCTATAGTACGCACTGAACTTACTGAATCAGCAAAAAAGATTAAGTTTTCAATACTTAAGTCAAGAATCACCTGAATTTGCCTTGCGAAAAGGAAGAGAGATGTGATAACTGATAAGCGTACAAACAAATTGCGACCTCATATAGTCACATGTCGTATGTGTTGCTTGCACCCTTCTCACAACAATCCTACGGCGTGAGACCGCAAAGATAGCGTCTGCGTTATCTTCAAGTACGGAGAATTGGCGATCTCCATAACTCCATGTCACCTCTATCCAGGCCTCAATCGTAATATCAATTTCATATCACTTTGAAAGTTGTTTTCAGACCAAGGAATTCCTAAACTTCTCTGAATTTTGTGCCTGCCTGAACACTCACTGAAAGACACGCTTCCTGAACCACTGAATTTTGTGGCTGCTTGAACACTGAAACAACACTTTCTGAACCTCTGAATTTTGTGGCTGCACACTGAAAGATAAAATTCCTGAACTTCTCTGAATTTTGTTTCTGAACCTGCATTTTTTTATCAGTCTCCCAAACGAAAAGGTAGAACCGTCGGAGTAGCCAAGAAATGGCGGGCGCGCACGGGCGGCGCCGCCGGGTGGCACTGCCGTGGCCGGTGAGGCTCAGGCTCTGCGTTTTCGAGGCCGCCATTGACGCGACGCAGCGCCGAGACGGCAGCGTCAACCGTTTCCTCTTCTCCCTGTTCGACCGCCGGGCGCCGGCCGACCCGCGGCCGGACGCCGCCGGCGTCAGCTCGACGGACATCACCGTCGACGCTTCGCGCGGCCTCTGGGCGCGCGTTTTCTACTCGCCGTCGCCGTCGCCGCGCCCCGTCGTCGTCTACTTCCACGGCGGCGGCTTCACGCTGTTCTCCGCGGCCTCCCGCGCCTACGACGCGCTCTGCCGCACGCTCTGCGCCGTCGTCGTGTCCGTCGACTACCGCCTCGCCCCCGAGCACCGGGCTCCCGCCGCGTACGACGACGGGGAGGCCGTCCTCCGCTACCTCGGCGCCACCGGCCTCCCCGACCACGTCGGCCCGGTCGACGTCTCCACCTGCTTCGTCGTCGGAGACAGCGCCGGCGGCAACATCGCGCACCACGTGGCCCAGCGATGGACGGCCACGGCGACGACGACGACGACGACGACCGATAACCCCGTCGTCCACCTCGCCGGCGTGATACTCATACAGCCGTGCTTCAGCGGCGAGGAGCGGACGGAATCCGAGCGCGCGCTCGACGGCGTGGCGCCGGTGCTGAACACGCGGCGGTCGGACCTGTCGTGGAAGGCGTTCCTGCCGGAGGGGGCCGACCGGAACCACCCGGCGGCGCACGTCGTCACCGGAGACGACGACGACGACGCCGAACTGCACGAGGCGTTCCCGCCGGCGATGGTGGTCGTCGGGGGGCTCGACCCGCTGCAGGACTGGGACCGGCGGTACGCCGCCATGCTGCGGCGGAAGGGGAAGGCGGCGCGGGTGGTGGAGTTCCCGGAGGCCATCCACTCCTTCTACTTCTTCCCGGAGTTCCTCGCCGACGATCACCGGAAGCTCGTTGGTGAAATCAGGGCGTTCGTGGAAGAATGCATCACGTCCAAGCAGCCCACTGCTTAGTGACGAGGGCCTCATCATTTGACCTATCGCTATAAAATTTTAAATTTAATTTCAAAGTTTTCTCAATGTAGTTTTTTTTTATTTAGCTTTTAAGTCGATAAGTAATGGATATATAAAAAAATTTCATTAATTATTTTTGCCGCTAAGCTCTTGCCAACCAATGGGGACTATGTCTCGTTGGAAATTATCGGAGTAACATCTTTAGTTTGTTTTTTATGAAGAAAAAAGTGAAGGAAAAAAAATGATGCTTTAGCTCATCTCAGCAAAAAAAGATCCAACTATAGTTTGTTAGTTTGTTTTTAGTTGCGAGATGTACAAGTTAAATTTTAAATTATATATTTATAAAGTGATATATTACATGTTAATACATCCTTTTAAACTTTTTTATAACTATGTGAGTATATATACAATAACAATAAGAAGATATTCCTCAAGAGTCCCCAATAGGCAGCCATGCATCGCCATCAACGTAAGCATGGTCGTTGCGAGAGACTTGAGACGTTAACCACAACCACAAATGTACGTATCAGATAATCAGATACACATCATTGCAAAAGGCTACTGGATTAATTAATTATATCCTTCAATCAAACAAAGAAAAATCGCTACAAACGTGTGGCTATGTGCTCATCAGTTGAGCAGTACACAATAATGAGATTGGATCAAAATCATATCGCATTGAAGCTATTGGGTTGTACGTACGTAGTACCAATGTGTTCAACTATAAAACTTAAATTGAAGACGTACTAATTATACTCAAAACAAACAGAAGCAACGGAGCTATATATGGTCGTATGGAATTGCATTAAAATACCTGTACATGAGATTATGAGAGGTATCAAGTGCCAATTTGTCAAATTTGAACGCAGCTAGAGTTCATTGGTTCGACGATATGGTCATGACTCATGAATGCCAATTTAGGCTAAATTCGGCGCTGGGGACTTAAATTCTAGGTAGTACGAGTAGTTACACGGTATTTCAAATTTCTACTATCAAATTGGAATATTCACGTAAAAATCAAGGGATAATTTTGGTCCTGTGTGGATCCCACCCCAAATCCCACCGAACGTTTAAACACCTACATGAGGTATTAGATATAGACTAAAAAATAACTAATTGTATAGATTGTGACTAATTTGTGAGATGAATCTTTTAAGCCTAATTGTTCCATGATTTGACAATGTTGTGCTACAGTAAATATTTACTAATAACAGATTAAATAGGCTTAATAAATTCATCTCATGGTTTACCGGCGGATTCTGTAATTAGTATTTTTATTAGTGCCGAACATTTATGGCACACCGTATATAATACCTGATGAGACACGCCGAAACTTTACTAAACACCCCCTTTATTTCCAAAAAAAATTAATCGGTTCACCTATATATAGTGTCCTCTGGACACTGAAATGACTCGCACAGAAACCGGCGAAATGGGGCACGAGAAGGAGCAAGAAACGGCCGGCGACGAGCTCCGGCGGCCCGAGCCGCCGGCGTTGCCGTGGACGGTGCGGCTCCAGCTCTTCGCCCTCGTCACCGCCGTCGACATCGTGCAGCGCGGCGACGGCACCGTCAACCGCTTCCTCTTCTCCCTCGCAGACCGCCAGAGCGCCGCCGCGGCGCGCCCGGACGCCCACGGCGTCCGCTCCGGCGATGTCACCGTCGACGCGTCCCGCGGGCTGTGGGCGCGCGTGTTCTCCCCCGCGAGCAGCAGCGCCGTGGAATCCCCGCCGCTCCCCGTCGTCGTCTACTTCCACGGCGGCGGCTTCGCGCTCCTCACCGCCGCCTCCAGCCAGTACGACGCCTTGTGCCGCCGGCTCTGCCGCGAGCTCCGCGCCGTCGTCGTCTCCGTCAACTACCGCCTCGCCCCCGAGCACCGCTACCCCGCCGCCTACGACGACGGCGTGGACGTGCTCCGCCACCTCGCCACCGTCGGCCTCCCCGCCGACGTAGTAGCGGCCGTCCCCGTCGACCTCACCCGCTGCTTCCTCGTCGGCGACAGCGCCGGCGGCAACATCGCCCACCACGTCGCGCACCGATGGGCCGCCGCCACCACCTCCTCGAGCCGCCGCGTCCGCCTCGCCGGCGTCGTCCTGCTGCAGCCGTTCTTCGGCGGCGAGGAGCGGACGGAGGCGGAGCTGAGGCTGGACGGCGTGGGGCCGGTGGTGAGCATGGCGCGCGCGGACTGGTGCTGGAGGGCGTTCCTGCCGGAGGGCGCCGACCGCGACCACCCGGCGGCGCACGTCACCGGCGAGAACGCCGAGCTGGCGGAGGAGTTCCCGCCGGCGATGGTGGTGGTCGGAGGGTACGACACGCTGCAGGACTGGCAGCGGCGGTACGCCGGGATGCTGCGGCGGAATGGGAAGGCGGTGCAGGTGGTGGAGTACCCGGCGGCGATCCACTCCTTCTACGTCTTCCCGGAGCTCGCCGACTCCGGCGAGCTCGTCAAGGAGATGAAGGCGTTCATGGAGCGCAACGCGCCGCCCAAATCGAATGCTTAATTAGAAGCGTTTTATTTACCTTTGGCATTTCAAAATGTTAACCTGGACTGCTATTTCATATATATTTTGCTGAAATTTGATCAAGTTTTGCGATGATGAATTGCTCTGTGAAATAAACAGATTTTACTTTTTTTAGATAATGAAATAAAACATCTCGGCTTTTGCTCATCAGAGCTACAGCCAATTATTATAAAAGTAACACCCAAACACTGAACGTAGTTTAAATGAATTAAACATACCTAATAAAATAAAACCGATTTTACTAGCAGCGTATTTTTTATTCCGATTTCATCGCATGGATCCCATGATGCTGACGGAGACATTAACCTACCATACGATTCTGTTCACGCGGAGCACGAGCACAGCTGCACATTTCTGACTTCTTTTTGACGCGACAAGAGAAAAAGAGAGAGAGAGAGAGGAAGGCTGTGTTTTCGGTGCAAAGTTTAGATTTTGGTTGAAATTAAAGATGATGTGACTAAAAAGTTATGTGTGTATGACAGATTGATGTGATGGAAAAGGACTGAAGTTTGGATTCACTTTAGATCTAAACACACAGCCTTGAAACATGATAAGAATTACTTTTTGCGACAAGTAAAATCAGTCTGACTTTTGAGACGTACGCGACGCATTACACGTCGATAGAAAAAATCAAATTCAAAAGCTATTTTGAAGAACACTTTTCGTGTAGGGTTCTATCCTTTTCTTACAGGCTCTCGTTTTGAGCCTATAGGATTAGATTCTCCTCGTTTTCTGTTAGCACGCTTTTCAAACTGCCAAATGGTATATTTCGTGCGAAAACTTTCTATAAAGAAGTTGTTAAAAAAATCCAACAAATTTATTCATAAAAAAGTTATATATTAATAATTAATTAATCATATACTAATCGCATTTCTCGTTTTGCGTGCGACTAAACCGTCCACCGCCCCAGCCGAAACAATCGCACCCTTATTGGGCCAGAAAATATAATCATTGTGTTATCATACAATTATTTCGTAAGTTTAAACAACTTCTATTTCCAACTTTAGTCGTCTATTACACGGTCCAAAATGAAACACACTCTTTTGTTTAATGATATTTTCTAATTAAGTAGAGGGCGTTTTGTATAAAACAAATGTTTAATGATTTTTTTCACGTGTGCCAAAGTCGAACACTTTAGGAGCGTATGCTACTACAAAATCGATCTTTTATGGCGTCACCTTATTATTTTCTCCGGCGGCCATACGTGAAAACTACCAGCGACAATGGGGCTATAGACCGCCAGCAAAAATGGATCTTCGCTGGCCAACGAAAGTGTATCTTTTTGCTGGCGGCTCACTTTAGCGATTTCCACTGGCGGTTGAAGAGGACTGCCATATTAAAAGATCAGCTCTCTCCACCGCACCTAACTCTTTACTCCCTCTCCATCCCTATCGGTACGCACTCCTTCCCTACCCCTCTCCTTCTCCTTCCCTGCAGATGCCCACCGGCGTGCACCCCTCCTCCTTCCTCACTGGTGCACACCCCCCTCCTCCGTCTTCACCGACGGATCCAGCGGCAACGAATCAAGCGGGTGGCAGATCTGGTGACGGCGAGTCAAGCGTGTGGTGGATCCGGCGGCGGCGACTTTCGCGGGTGACAGTCTGGTGGAGTCAAGGAGGGGAGGTTGGTGGCAGCAAGGCAGCATATGGAGCGTCGGTGGCAGCGCCCCACTCCCCCTTCCTTCCCAAATCTGGTTGGAGGGGAGGAGGCCAGGGGCGGCGGCTGCCCCACTCTCTCCCCTCACCTCCCTCTTTTTGATTTGGCTGGAGAGGAGGAGGCCGGTGGCGGCGCGGCAACAAGGGGGAGAGCGGTGCGCGGTGGCCCCTCCCCTCCATGATATGTGGGTCCAATGTCAAAGAGTTAATTGTCACATTTAAAAGTGACACTCTTAAGGATAAAATAAACTACACGGTTCTGTTCACGTGGAGCACAAGCACATCGGCACATTTCAGACTTTTTTTTGTCGCAAAAAAAAAGGGGAAACGGGACGAGAATTAAATCAGTATTAAAACGAGAGCGATCGACTTACACGAGTATATAGAGAAACTAAATTCAAAAGTACAGCAGTACATTTTGAAGAACATTTCGTACTTTTATTACAGGCTCTTAATGGGCCGAGATACCGGCCCATATCAACACAAGGCCCACATAATAGCATTTGCTCGAGAGGCCGAATCCGAATTGGAATAAGTTCACTTCATGACCCTCAAAAGTGATCGAAATCTAATCCATGACCCTAAACCACAAAACCGGATATCTCGACCCCTAAACTCTTAAAACCGGTGCAATTTGACTCCCTGGGCGGTTTTGGAGGGCGGTTTCGCTGACGTGGCGCCTACGTGGCAGTATTGACTCGGTCTTCTTTTCCACGTGGCGTTGATGTGGCGCTTAGGTGGCATTAGAAATAAAAATATGCGTGGGATCCTCTATCTCCCTTTCTTCTTCCTCCCTTCTCTCTTTCTTTCTTTTTCTCCTCTCTCCTTCGGCCGGCCGCGGGGAGCATGGGAGGCTGGAGCGGCAGCGGGCGGGCGCCAGAGCGGCGGCAGCGGCGGAGGAAGCTGAAGCGGTGGCGGCGGCCTCGCCAAGTGGAGAGAGGAGAGGAGAGGAGAGCAGGTGAGGGAGGAAACGGATGTGATGGGTGACATGAGAGGAGGCGGCGGTGTGTAAGGGCCGGAAGGGAGAGGGGAGAGGCGGAGCCGCCGAGCTCGTGTTGTCGCCGCCACCGCCGCCGCCGGTGCCTCCTCCCGCACTCGCGCTCACGACAGCGCTGCCGCGTGCTGACCCGGAGTGGCGGCGACGCGTCCCGTGGGTGGTGGCTATGGCCGCAGCCGACAAGGTCGGAGACGAGAGCGGCGGCGGCGGCGGCGGGCGTACGAGGGGCGGCGGACGGCTGGTCTCGATCTGGTACTCTGCATGGTCGGGGAGGTCGACGGCGACGACTACGAGGAGGAGGAGATAGAGGGGGCGGGCAGCAGCCGGACGATCCAGCCCACCGCCGCCGCCGCCTCTTTAGCTCCCGCCGCCTGTGCTCCCCACCGTCTATCGCCCACCGTCGCCTACACACCCGAGGTCCGCCGCCGCCGCCGCCTCTTTAGCTCCCGCCGCCCGTGCTCCCCACCGTCCACCGCCTACCGTCGCCCAGTCGCCCGAGGCCCAGTGCGGTAGAAGGAGCTGCTCCTGCGCCCGTCGCCGGAGGTACACCGTCCACCGCCCACCGCCACCACCACTCCATCACCCACCCACCACCACCGGCACTCGAGCCCCCTCCTGCCGGCGGCTTATGTCAACGGAGAGAGAGAAACAACGGAGAGAGGAGGAAGAAGAAGGGTAGTGAGAGAGAGGATGACATGTGGGGCCCACATGTCAGTGGGCCCCACTTTTATTTTGTGTGTGAATGACAGATGGGTCCCACGCATATTTTTTTTATTTCTAATGCCACCTCAGCGCCACGTCAACACCACGTGGAAAGAAGACCGAGTCAATGCTGCCACGTAGGCGCCACGTCAGCGAAACCGCTCTCCAAAACCGCACTGGGAGTAAAATTGCACGGGTATTAAGAGTTTGGGGGTCAAGATATCCGGTTTTGTAATTTGAGGTCATGGATTAGATTTCGATCACTTTTGAGGGTCATGAAGTGAACTTATTCCATCCGAATTCGCAAAGGAAACCAAGAAGAACATGGAGACCTTTCTGCCCCTATTTATGGCAGAAAAAAAAAATCCCCAAGCAATCCAAGATTAATCCAGCATCGATCGAACCACCGCCGCGACGACGGAGATGGCCGTCGACGAGGTCAACAACGTCGGCGAAGAGAAGAAGGAGGAGAAGAAGCTGAGGAAGTGGAGGATGCCACAGGAGCAGATCGACCTCATCCTGTCGTGGTCGCCGGAGCCAGCCCGGCCGCCGCGCTACGACGTGGACATCGGCCGCCTGCAGATCAGCGACGCGCTCAAGGAGAGGCTGCGGCGGGTGGACGCCGACGACGCGGTGGCCAAGCGGGAGATGGACCGGTACCACAAGGAGCAGCAGGAGTGGGTCAAGGCCGAGCTCGCCGCCCATGGCTACGTCTAGTGCGAGATCGACGACGACGACAACCCCTGCACCTGCGGCTGCGCCTATGCTGCCGACCATGAGGAGGAAGAAGAAGAAGAAGAACAAGAAGGAGACGATGATTGTTATGAGGACGAAACTGAAGAGAAGAAAATCTGTTCGGGAAATTAGACGGCTGGAACCTCGATCACTGATAATTTCTGCATTATATTTTTTAATATGATTATGTGTGATTAATACTAGCCTGCTGTCTACCAGTTTTAATAGTTAAACAGCATGATTGGAGGTTTCTTGGTAGCCATGGCTGCTTGTTTGAACTTTGAACTTGAACGTTGGGGAAGAATAGGGAGGATGCGTTGGTGGGAAGAAGGAAGAGAACGACGGTGATGGGCTTTTGATGGGCCATATGGAGACAAGGTGTCCTCGTACGGAAAAAGTACGTCCGAGGTCCCTCATCTTGTCACCGAATTACAAAATCGTCACTCAACTAAAAAAACCAGATGTATAAGATCCCTCAACTTACAAAACTAGATCATTCCAGGTCCTTAGACAACATTGATCCTGGTTTTGTCCGACATGACGACTGAGTCACCATGGAACCCACGTGAACCCCACATATCAAGGTGACCACGGCATTACCCTCTCTCTTATCCTCTTCTCTCCCTTTCTACCCTTTCTCGTTTTTCTTGTCGTCATTTGGGTGGGCTGGCTGTCCGGTGCGGAGAGGAGGAGGTCCGACGGCCGACGACGAGCGACATGGCGGCGCTGGGTAGAGGGAAGCGTCGGGAGCGAAGGAGGCTGGCGAGGTGAGGTGGGAGAGGAGGCAACCACGGTGACCATACCATGGAGGAGGGCACCGGCGGTGAATAGGAGCTGGATGGCGCAGAGGAGATGGGCGGGGTCATCCGCGGAGGAGTGGAGAAGCTTGGGAGAGAAATGGGGAAGGGCAAGGTGCATACCTCGCCATCGTCCTCATGTCCTTCCTTCCTGTCTGACGCAAGAAAAGAGAGGAAGAAGAGAGAAAAGGAATAAGGGGATCTGATCAATTGGCCCACCCATTTTTATTATTTTATAATTTGTTTCTTGATGAAACCGTCACATAAGCGCCATGTGAGATGAAGATCTAGTCGAAGGAGCCACATTGGTGCCTTGTTAGCTGAAACTGGGGACAATACCATCGAAGGATTTTGTTTGCACTGGTTTTAAAAGTTGGAGGATACATTGTATTTGGTTTTTTGGTTAAGGGATGATTTTGTAAATCGGCGACAAGAGTAGGTATCTCCGGTGTACTTTTTCCTCCTCACAAGTCACAGAGAAGTATTTGGTGGGAGCCTGGGCCGGCACACATGGGCGCGGCGGAGAATTCACAAAGGAAACTAGGAGCCCGAGGCCGAGTAGAACACGGGCATTCTGGCCCATTTATGGCGTGGTCCCGTAGCGATCCATGAATCCATCAGAAAAATCCCAACAAATCCAGATTCTGCCGGCGATGAACTGGAGTTGGTCGTCGCAAGCCGAAGGGATGAAGAAGATAATGAAGAAGCTGAGGAAGTGGAGGATGCTGCAGGAGCAGATCGACCGCACATCCTGTCACGATGTCCGCCCCGCGACCGTGTTACAGAGCGAAGATCTGGCGGCGAGCGAGGCGGAGGAGGAGGCGCTCCTGCAGCTTGGACGCCGACGGTGCGGAGGCCATATATACGGCACCTGAACGAGTACTGGAAGGAGCAGCAGGAGTGGGTCAAGGCGGAGCTCGCTGCCCATGGCTACGTCGAGTGCGAGATCGACGACAACGGCGACAACCCTTGCACCTGCGGCTGTGCACACGCCGGTCGTGGAGAAGACGAAGAGGAAGGCTATGGACAGCGACTGTGGATGCGATGACGACGATGATGGAGAAGATGAACGGGAAGCAACCGAAGAGACGAAGGAAATTTGAGAATTTGCGGGATATGGACAGAGAATTTGAGCTAATTGGACATGATTTTGGCCAACTAGGATTACATCATATTACCATTACCAATGTTCAAATATTCAAGGGTCAAAATATATCTACACAATAAAGAACAGAAGCTTTTACATATGGCAGAAATTTGCAACTCTTGAGTCATCTGCACTTCTCTTTCAGTACTTTGGCACTCTTATTACAGTTTGAGCTTTATCAAACAATAATTTATACTAGTAGTAAAACTAAACAAACAAATTGAAATAAAATATAACTCCACAGCCACTGTGCCGTGTGCAACTTGCGAACAACTTGTCCTTAAACATTAATTAATGGCGCGACAGATTTGTCGCATTGGTCACATCGAAGATCAAAGCACCACATCACTCCTGCAATTCACTCAAAAAGAAAAAAAAAACTCTCCTCCACACTTGGTGCAGCAAGAGATGGCCGGCGTTGACCGCAGCCGCCGGTCGTCGTCGTCGCCGCCGCCGCTTCCGTGGACGGTGCGCGTGCAGCTTGCTGCGCTCTCGGCCGCGCACCGGTCCGACGGCAGCGTGCGGCGCCTCCTCTTCTACCTCGGCGACCTCCACGCCGCGGCCAGCCCCCGTCCCGACGCGGCCGGCGTCCGCTCCGTCGACGTCACCATCGACGCCTCCCGCGGCCTCTGGGCGCGCGTGTTCTGCCCGCCCACGAACACGGCGGCGGTGAAGCTCCCGGTCGTCGTCTACTTCCACGGCGGCGGCTTCGTGCTCTTCTCCGCGGCGTCGCGCCCCTACGACGCGCTCTGCCGCCGCATCTCCCGCGGGGTCGGAGCCGTGGTGGTGTCCGTGAACTACCGCCTCGCCCCCGAGCACCGCTTCCCCGCCGCCTACGACGACGGCCTCGCCGCGCTCCGCTACCTCGACGCCAACGGCCTCGCGGAGGCCGCCGCCGAGCTCGGCGCCGCCGTCGACCTCTCCCGCTGCTTCCTCGCCGGCGACAGCGCGGGCGGGAACATCGTGCACCACGTGGCCCAGCGCTGGGCGGCGTCCACCACCTCGCCGTCGTCGTCGCTCCGGCTCGCCGGCGCCGTGCTGATATCGCCCTTCTTCGGCGGCGAGGAGCGGACGGAGGAGGAGGTGGGGCTCGACAAGGCGAGCCTCTCGCTGTCGCTGGCGAGGACGGACTACTTCTGGCGGGAGTTCCTGCCGGAGGGCGCCACCCGGGACCACGCGGCGGCGCGCGTGTGCGGCGGCGAGCGCGTCGAGCTGGCGGAGGCGTTCCCGCCGGCGATGGTGGTGATCGGCGGGTTCGACCTGCTCAAGGGATGGCAGGCGAGGTACGTGGCGGCGCTGCGCGAGAAGGGGAAGGCGGTGCGGGTGGTGGAGTACCCGGACGCCATCCATGGCTTCCACGCGTTCCCGGAGCTCGCCGACTCCGGCAAGCTCGTGGAGGAGATGAAGCAGTTCGTCCAGGAGCATAGCTCCAACCGTATGGCTTAATTATATTTGTTCTTTTTTTAAGTGTCCAATTGATCGAATCACACGCAGAATTCGACGCTATCATGCTGGCTTCTGCATAATTTAGGAGAAAATTTTAAATATTTACAGATACATACCCCTCCGTCAAAAAAAAAAATAATCAATCCTACCTATAAACATGGATACATGCTTTAGGTTCGTAGGTAGGATTTTTTTTCGACAGAGTAGTATGCAATAGACTTAAATAAACTAGCTAGTGGGGTTGTATGATTTCTGTATGTATCAAGTAATGAATCATGAGAGAGATACTACTCCTAGGGCCTGTTTGGGATCTTTAAATTATAAGAAGCAGCTGTTTGGTAGCTAGTTTTTGATAATCTAGAAAAGCTCTGAAACCCAGCTTCTCCAGCTTCTGATTTTTTAGTTCATTTTTCAGAATTTGTAACTACAGATTCTCAGAAGTTGTGGACTGTTTGAGGCAACTTCTAGCAGAATCAGTTTTTAGGAAAAACTGCAGCTGGAACAAGCTCCCCCAAAACAGGCCCTAGACTTTTTCCTTGTGAGTTGTGAGTTTCGTATTCGTTTTTGTTTTTACCGTTTTGCCATTTTCTCCAGATGAATTTCTCTGAACTCCTGTGTGGCACGTTCTTGGCGAGTCCTAGGCAGCAACTATCTGCCATGCGTGCCCAGTTACCCACCTGATAGACAAGAAGTGTATCACACGCAGTGTCCTGGACTACGTAGAGTCTTTCCATTCTGGTAGTAGTCGCTTGCAAGGAGATTGAGACGAAGACGTAGAGGAGATCTCAAAATATAGCAACCTGAAATTAGATGAGATACATAATGATTTCATGAATCTGGATAGATTTTTTTATTCACATTCGTATTCATTGTAAAAAGATACATCCTGTTCGGTCTCAGTTTACTATATATTTTATGCTGAAAAGAATATTTGAGATTAGAGTGACCTTTGAGACTCTAGGACGCCAGTGACATTGAATGTATGTTTGATATTTTTTTAAAAAAAAAGTTACAAAATTATTTATTTTGTTATGACTTGTATTGTTTATTGAAGTTGTTTTAAGTATGATTTATTATATTCGCATATTTACATAATTTTTAAATAAAATGAATAGATAAATATATATGCCAAAACCAAAAGTACTTTAAATTTAGACCGTGAGTGCTCTAAATATGTAGTACCCTATACACATGTATTTAGCTTTGCAAGACCATCATATACCATTTGTACGGAAACAACTCTCGTGCATATAGCGGAAGTCCTAAATAGATAAGAAATGAGTCACATAAAATAAATACAGAGCCCTCAAAACCGACGATCGTATCTATGTTTATCTTCTTAGTTCTACTTAAAAAGGAAACACCTAAAAATATAAGTACAAGATCCCAGAAGTGAAGGACAAGCCTAATAAAAAAAATATAGAGCAACCTCCAATCTCGCCGAATGGATTCTCGAGGAAGCCAAAAATAGCTAACCAACGACTAACCATACTCGAGCTTTACATTGATACGCTGGTACACTAGATTAGGTTATTCTCTACTTTGTACTTGTGATAGATTGATATACGATGGCAACACCAGCTCCGGTCAACAGAAATAATGCTATTACTCGTCATCAAGGGTCTACCTATATAAAAATCCCTTTCCCCTTGCTCCATTTACAGATTTGTTTGTATCCTCCTAACAATCAATTCCTACGTCCTCCAAACAATTTGTATATGAACGAATCATGTGATTGAGGTATAACCCATCGACACACACTTCACTATAGTAATATAATCGTATATCGACGAAAGGCAACGAATAGCAGGTGGCAACCATTATGATAACAAAAGGCAGCAAATAACCGCAGATGGATTTTTGTCTCCCATGTGATGTCTTCATTTCTCGCATATCTCTTAAATGACATAAAACTTGCTCTATGATATTTACTCATCTTCAAGGTTGTTATTTATTTCTCATCCCATCGAGTATTCCTTAGGAATGAATAATAAAATTTATTTCTCGTGTAGTGCCTCTCACAGTATTGGTGGCGTATGATTGTGTTGTTATGTGTGTTGTCATATACTCCTCCCGTTAAAAAAAAAACCCAACCTATGAAGGTGGGACATTACCTAGTCCAGCGTATCCGGACATATGTTTGTTTAGATACGCTGGACTAGGTAATATCCCATCTCTAATTAGATTGTTTTTTTTTTGGGACGGGGGAGTACATGTGCATACATATGAGCCTGTCGTGTAATCGAAAAATAATCTCGTAAATTCTGCTGGAATCATCATAATCACTGGATCAATTACAGCGTTGGGCCAACAAGCCATCTACTGCACACGCTTGGTTCTATGCTCCTGGACGAACAGCTTCATCTCCTCCACGAACTCGCCGGAGTCGGCGAGCTCCGGGAACAAGCAGAAGCCATGGATGGCGCCCGGGTACTCCACCACCCGCACCGCCTTCCCCTTCCCGCGCAGCGCCTCCACGTACCTCGCCTGCCACCCCTTGAGCAGGTCGAACCCTCCGATCGCCACCATCGCCGCCGGGAACGCCTCCGCCACCTCGACGTCGTGCTCGCCGCCGCCGCACACGTGCGCCGCCGGGTGGTCCCGTGTGGCGCCCTCCGGCAGGAACTCCCGCCAGTAGTAGTCCGTCCTCGCTAGCGACAGCGTGAGCGCCGCCTTGTCGAGCTCCAGCTCCTCCTCCGTCCGCTCCTCGCCGCCGAAGAATGGCTGGATCAGCACGGCGCCGGCGAGCCGGAGCGTCGTCGACGACGACGGTGAGGCGGCGGACGCCGCCGCCCAGCGCTGGGCCACGTGGTGCACCATGTTGCCCCCTGCGCTGTCGCCGGCGAGGAAGCAGCTGGAGAGGTCGACGGCGGCGACGCCGGCGGCCTCCGCGAGGCCGTTGGCGTCGAGGTAGCGGAGCGCGGCGAGGCCGTCGTCGTAGGCGGCGGGGAAGCGGCGCGCGGGGCCGGCGAGGCGGTAGTTGACGGACACCACCACGGCGCGGAGCTCGCGGCAGATGCGGCGGCAGAGCCTGTCGTAGTAGCAGGAGGCGGCGGAGAAGAGCACGAAGCCGCCGCCGTGGAAGAAGACGACGACCGGGAGCGCCTGCGCCGCCTCTCCCTTCGTCGGCGGCGGGGAGAAGACGCGCGCCCAGAGGCCGCGTGAGGCGTCGATGGTGACGTCGACGGAGCGGACGCCGGCGCGGCGCTTGGCCCTGACGTGGATGTCCAAGAGGGAGAAGACGAGGCGCCGGACGCTGCCGTCCCGGCGGTGCCCGAGCGCGAAGCCGGCCGCCTGCACGCGCACCGCGCACGGTAGCGACGGCGAGCGGCGGCGGCGCGTCATGTCAGCGTCGGCGGGCATCTCTCGCTGCATGCGTGCAGTGCACCAACGCAATGAGTACATCCGCTGCGTTGTAGCGTGTGCATTTTATATCTGTGACCCGTGCAACATTGCGTACGTGTACGTCTCTGTTGTTCAACGAAAGGTTGTACACTGTTGTCCGTCCCAGTCACATACTCCTAGGTCACATAGGATGTTTAGATACTACCTCCGTCCAAAAATACTTGTCGTTTTGTGTTTTTTACATAACTTTTGATCATTCGTCTTATTCAAAAATTATAGAGTTATTGTTTATTTTGTTTGTAACTTGCTTTATTATAAAAATACTTTAAGTGTGACTTATTCGTTTTTATATTTACACTAATTTTTAAATAAGACGAATGGTCAAAGGTTGCAAGAAAAAAATCAAAGCGACAAGTATTTTGGGACTGATGTAGTATGAAACATACACTACTTAATAAAACTAATTATATAAATGAGTGTTAATTCGCGCGACAATTTTTTAAGCCTAATTAATTCATAATTAACACATATTTATTGTAACATCACATAGGCTAATCATGAATTAATTTGGATCAATAAATTTGTCTCGCGAATTAACTAGGATAGAATAAGTTTTGTCAATAGCTTACGTTTAATACTTTGTACAAACATCCATCCGATGTAACACCATCCAAACAGGGTCAATTATTTTTGTTCGGTTGCACACTCTCTGTAGTCCTGGTGCGGATGATCGGCAGACGGCAGCTGCAGAATGCGTGCACGTTGTAAAAGCTTTAGATTTTTGTTTTTGTTGATGCAAAGCAAGCAGGATCCAAGACTCCAGTTCCCTGCAGTCCGTAGATGACTGCAACATAATCAGTCACGTTAAGTTTGAGCGATTTGGAACTCTTAGCCAATCATGTGGGTAAGCCAATATTTCACTTCAAATTTTAAGCCCGTATCCGAAGTTCCCAACAAGGGAGCCTATTACTAATCCTTCCGTCCTAAAATATAAGTATTTTTAGACTTTGACATAGTCTATGAGATGCTATTTTGACCAATAATATCTATAAAAGTAATATGTTTTAAATAAAAAGAGTTACATTAATGATAAATTTAGTAACATCAATTTTACATGATTGATCCTTTTTATTCTTTTGCTATTAATAGTCAAAGTTACAAATATTTGACTTGATACTATGCTAAAAATACTTATATTTTAGGACGGATGGAGTACTGTTTAATCGTTTGAAACATAAAGAAAAAAATTCAATCGAATTTTGGACGGCCGTGATCACTCTAGAATTCGCGCAACAGGCTGGGCCCATAAAAACCTGGGCCCAAATCTCAATAGGCCGCGAGGCCTCTGTGATGATCGGGCCGGATCCAGGCCCATAAAAAACCTGGGCCAAAAGCTGTTTGACCTCCTCTCCCTCTCTCTCTCTCTCACACAGTTACCTCTCACCTCGGCGGCGGGCGGCGGCCGGCGGCGAGGTCCGGACAGCGGAGGGAGCAAGCGGGGAGGACGAGGCATGGGGACCCTGGGGCGGGCGATCTACACGGCGGGGAAGTGGATCCGCGGCACGGGGCAGGCCATGGACCGCCTCGGATCCACCATCCAGGGCGGCCTCCGCGTCGACGAGCAGCGTAAGCAGCAGCAGCCGCCGTCTCTCTCTCTGACAATTTGGCAGTTGTTATTGGGAAGAAATTGGTAGGAATGGATAGGGGGTGACTGGATTCGAGGAGTCTCGAAATGAGCCTAAATTATCGTCGGTTATTTGTGAAGTTCTGCATTCCAGGTTTTCAACTAGTGATCGATCTCGTGTGTGAAAACTGCAGCAAGTAAATCAAGGATTGCGCATATTGGTTATTGCGGTCATACTGCCCATTGTGGGAGTGTCACATTGGCAATTTGGCATGCCAATTTTCGAGTGGTTATGCATCTATTTTCTGTTGCGTAGCATCATGAAGAATGTCATTTGTTCCACCTTCTAGTTAGGTGTGGTGCTGTAGTTGGTGTTGATTGATTTCCACCATGCTGCATCTTGTAGAGGGCCTTGAATTAGCATAAATTGGACATTGTATCAAAAAGGTTTTGGTATTATGTCTAGATAGGTCATTTTAGAATAACCACGAGCTAATGAATTTAGCAAGGTACATAAACTTTATGGTTGAGCCTGACTATCATGTTACCGTTTTGTATGCCCTTGTCAGTGCCAAGGCATCGCACAATCATGAACATATTTGAGAAAGAGCCCAGAATCCACAAGGATGTTTTTGTTGCTCCCAGTGCAGCTGTGATTGGTGATATTGAGATTGGACATGGATCCTCAATCTGGTATGGCTCCATTTTAAGAGGTAAACTCTTGGTCGATATACACTGTAGTATTATTACACATGTGAGTAAGCATGGGCTTTGTCTTGATAATTTGTTTCCCATTTCTTTCTTTGTTACACCTTGTTTACTGTACATTTTTGTTTTTGGAATAAACTTGCTTCTGACTGCAGTACACTCATTGTTATGATGAATGGTACTACATAGACAACTGACAGAACCACCAGTCGTACGGAGATGCACAGTTTTATCAAACAGCTCTAGTACACTCATCTTTTCATTGTTGGGCTCTCAACTGACACTTCACATGAAGTTCGAGTTTTTAACCTGCAACGATGATGTGTTGGGCTCTCAACGATGATGTGGGAAGGTTCTCCCAACCATAAAGCATTAAGTACTACTTCCTCCGTTTCATATTATAAGACTTTCTAGTATTGTCCACATTCATATATTCATTAATGAATCTAAACATATATGTGTGTCTAGATTCATTAACATCTATATGAATATGGGCAATGCTAGAAAGTCTTATAATATGAAACGGAGGGAGTAACATACTAGTAGCTCTTAAGAAAACAATTAGGTGAGAATGGTTTTGACCAATGCCTGTATGGTCTCCTTTACAACCAAATCCAAGTAGAAAAAGGATTCAAGCAGCTTCATTCACATGATAACGTTCCTCCTACACCATATGATCTTTTATCATGGTGTGAGGCATTTGTGCTGTCATACATACTGGGTTAACCCTAGCATATTGATATTTAAAGTTTCAGTAACTATAGTGTTGAAGTTGTACTTTGGATACTTCCACGGTGCGGTGATAACCATTTTAGCTCCTTTTCATTCTTTTGTCCTCAGGTGATGTCAACAGCATTCATATTGGAGTTGGAACAAATATACAAGACAATTCCCTTGTACATGTTTCAAAAGCTAATATCAGTGGGAAGGTTCTCCCAACCATAATTGGAAACAGTGTTACAATAGGTCAGTAGAGCACTTCCTATCTTAATTCGTAATATACACTCTGATATGCTATTGAAGTTGTGATTTGGCTTTTCTGGAAGACATTAACCACATGGCATCATTTATACCTGATAAAATCGTAAAAATATGGTTTCCATTGCTGCTTTGTGATTGATTTACGAGTTAAAATTCTGAGCTTCATTTCGCATGGACTATTCACTGTGACACTGTGCTATGCACCTACCTAAACAATAAAGCTTCTGCCAGGTCACAGTGCTGTTCTACACGCATGCATCGTCGAGGATGAAGCTTTTGTTGGTATGGGTGCCACTCTGCTTGATGGAGTGGTGGTTGAAAAGCACAGCATGGTTGGTGCAGGATCCCTTGTAAAGCAAAACACCAGGATTCCTTCTGGAGAGGTTACCTTCCTATTTTCTTGCTAAGCAAGTTTTTTTTTTTCACTTGCTATATGAGAAATGTGCAATCAACTGCCAACATTTTGTAATGAGGTAATTCTCAGAGATGCTGGTATATGATTACAAAATTGGCATGCTCTTTGTTCAGAAAAATACCTAATTGTTTTCGAATAATGCAATTGAATGATTCTGAGGTAGAGGTTTAGTCTGCATTTTTCCCTTAATTTACAGTTATGATGTGTTGACACATATTTTGCATGAATTTCCTTATTTATAAAACTGTAATCGGGGACTGGAGGATTACTAAACAAAGCTGCTGGCTGCATGTTTATACTGATGTCCATGTTTTATGTTCCACACTTGTTGTGAACAGCTGCAAGATTTAAATATGCTTTGTATTTATATTTTATGGTTAAGTTAATACATTGCATGGCTTTATTAAACCATATCGTTTCCTGACATTGCTAGGTCTGGGTTGGTAATCCTGCCAAGTTCCTAAGAAAGCTTACTGAAGAGGAGATGGCGTTCATTGCACAGTCAGCAACAAACTATATCAATTTGGCTCAAGTCCACGCAGCCGAGAATGCCAAGACCTTCGATGAGATTGAGCTCGAGAAGATGCTGAGGAAGAAGTTTGCGCACAAAGACGAGGAGTACGATTCGATGCTCGGCGTGGTCCGTGAGATCCCACCAGAGCTTATCCTCCCGGACAGTATCCTCCCAAACAAGGCTCAAAAAGCTGTTGCTCACTGAGTGTTTTCTTAAAGCTCCCGCTTGGGAAGCTTTGCTGTTATTACATGTTGACTTGTTTATGACAGTTTTGTCTGTCCGTAGAGGAAAAGGAAGTCAATTGGTTCCCCTGCTTTTGACTTGCTTGCTTGATAGATGTGAAGTTCAAGTTATTTGATACTAAATAGCTGTAGTGTGAAAAAGTCAGTGAGCTCAGAAAGTAGAAATTTTGAGGATTTTCGTGGGTGCAGAACTAATTTATGCAAAATTCCTGTAAAATTTCTGCGTTCAAGAGGACTAGAGGAGTCATGGAAGACGAGCAATCTGAAGGAAGATGCTCCCTGCTGATCAGTGAGTAATAAGCGAGCTATACAAGCATAGGCCCTGTTTGGAACATTGGTTTTTAAAGGATTTTTGGAGGTTTGCAATCCTTTGGATCTTTTTTTCCCTATGAGCTTGTTTGGAACAAAGGAATGGGGTTGTTGAATTCCTTCGGAAAACATTTCCTCCATTTTGTTAGGAAATATAAAACATCTACTTTGATCCAAAGGAAGATTCCCTTTGCTTCATCCTTCCATCCGTCTCTCTCTCTCTCTCTCTCTCTCTCTCTCTCTCTCTCTCTCTCTCTCTCTCTTTTTTCATGTAAACAGCCTAAACTTCTTCTATCATGTGTTTTGAATTTCTTAGTTATCAACTTTACACTATATCATATTCCTGCATTTTTTTTCTATTCATGTGTTTTCTTCGTTTATTTCAAACGAGGCCTTAAAAGAGAAAATAATCCTATGAGACCAGTTTTTTTCAAGTATGGATTAATTTTACCTGCTCTCCCAGGATTATTTTCCAGCTTAAGGCCATGTTTGATTCAGCTTAGTATTATTATAATCTAAATTATTAGAAGTAAGCTGAAATAAACAGATAGCTTATTATAATATATTATTATAATCTATAAGTCAAATTACTATAATCTGGTAAGCCACTCTAAAGGTGCTTTTTTTAGATTAATGGGTGGCTAACAGTTAACAAACAGATAATAATCTAGAGAAACAAACAGCTAGCAGCTTATTTTATGTTAGCTTATTATAATCTAGCTTATAGTAATCTAGTTCAATAATCTAGATTACAATAATCTTAAGCTAAAACAAACAGGGCCTAAGACCTTGTTCGGTTTGAGGGAGATTGAAGGGGATTGAGGGAGAATAATTCAACACCACAATAGGTGTGGAATAATTTCCCTCGAATCCCTGCCTCATGGGAATTGACCGAACAAAGCCAGTTGCTTCCAAGGTACAGTCACAACAAGTGGCAGTCTTGCCCAAAGGTCATCTTGGCATCTTGCCGAGGACCGGCCAAGGGCCAACTCACCCAGTATTGAGCCCTGCGCTGCACGGCACCACAACAGTGATGACGCTTCACGCACGTTCCGCGGTAAACTTGCTCTTAGGAGAGCTTTACATTTCGAAAAACAGCTATTGAGAATTAAAAAAACTGAGTTATTCAAGAGAGGTCGAGATTTTATGAGAAGCACCATCTACCATAAGCTCTCCAAACAGAGAGCCAAGATAAGCAGAAAGGGGGATAGTCCATTATGTTTGGTAAACAGTTTCATGAACAAAGTTACATACACTAGAGTACTGACACAGCTACAACATGCGTGGGTGTCTCTCTCTCAGAAATGAGAAATATAATGTACCAACTAAACTAGACTGACCCGCAAGGCAGTAAAAACGATGCCTTGGCGAACCTACTACTACTAAACTACCCCTCACTACAATACACCTCACAGATCAGATATGTATTAGAGTATCTAACTACAACGACACAGATGTACAATGATTCCAAACACAGGGTCTGAGCTCGTACAAGAGGTTAGCTGGTACAGTTCGTCTTCATCAATCACCAGTGAGTTTTATCCCCAGGACCAGCAAGTATGATCTGCATTCGGACAAGCAAAGTTAATTACTCCGTGATCATTGCGCACAACACAGTCCAAAAAAAACGTTGGGGAAGAAACAAAATTCCTCGAGCTGGAGCAACAGAGTGCGACAACTTCTTGTTGTTTTTTTCTTCCTCCAAGACAGGTTGCTTACATTGCAATCGATGGCAAATCTGCGAGCGAGCATGATTGCAGAGTTGCGTTCTCTGGCCGTCTCGAAGCCCAGCACCAGGCTCAGGTCTCTCCTCGGTTGCCAGTACATCGCTTGGGGTGCAGCATCTCCACCGCCTCTCATACCACATAGCTGAAATGAACAACAATGCAACGCAAATTTTAGACTATATCATAGTCCAATGATGTGGAATGAAAGCTATCATCAGTGAGATGGAAGCAAGTTTCTACACCATCTTATGAGTGCTAAAAGTGTTGCCTAGAATACCTGCATCGTTGAGGAGTAGAATTCTTTTGCAATTACTGTCTTCCCTTTTGCGAGTCTCATCCGCAGTTTCCCGATGGAAAGAACATGAATTGAATCGGTAGGCTGTTTGATTCCATTCACTTGAAGAACAACAACCTGCCATAAGGGGCAAAAATAGGTGTCCTTAAAGAATGACTAGTAACAGTGGGTAAAGCTGACTTCATGAGCAGTAAATACACAGTTCTTTTATTATTTTTAGTGACACTGAATATTTGATACAAGCATCCAAATAGAATGATTTCTTGACATAAAAGCAGCAGATGGCATGCCAACTGGGAAATTATGAAAACCAAAATATCTGACAAGACTCAGTAAATAGCAAGATTTATAACAAATTATGTAGGTATAATGCAGAAACAAAAATGGATAAGGAAGGAAAACCATTACATTATATTCAGTTTCAGGATTCCTTAGAAGAGTCTCTACGTAATCGACCAATCCTGCAGCTGCTCGACAAAATAACGTTAGCCATGTCATAATAATAAAAGCGCATTAATGTTACCAGTCAGGAAAACTAACCAGGATCCACAGGGCCAGCAGTCTTCACGACAGAGATTTCACCGCAATGGTTGATCTCAGCTTGCAAATACCGCCCAACATCATGTGGTTCTGGAGCATATGCTTGCTTTATGGCACCTATAGAAGATCGGTAGCAAGTAGCAACAGTCATCAGTGTTACATCGTATGTAGAAACAAGATCGTTTTGCTTGATGGAAATAGTTTCACCTGAAATTATCTCTTTCTTGTTTCCTTCAGGCTGCACACGGAACCACTGTATTGTACTTCTTGATAAATCAACATATCCATCACTCTGGGAAACTATGCGCAACATTGAGCCTAAGCTTTCAAGGCCCTCCAGCTCATACGAGGACACATCGTTTTCCTCATAGCTTTGATGCAGGTGTAACTGATAAAAAGGACAGCCAATCATGCATGGAAATAAATACCAGATCTTGATCTCTACATACCGAAATTATTCATGTTGGGAACTTCACAGATTTGAGAAGCAACATAGAATAAAAGAAACGATTCGATCTAAAGACACTATTATTTGTCTTTTACGGCTGATCATCCAAGTAGCAAGATAACTCCTATAGAAAAACAATGACAGTAAAAGTAGGCATGAAGCAGCAATAACAAACCACTACACGCTCTTTGGCATCGTTCTGCTTATTTGCACAAGTTTAAAAGAAAGAAAGCAAGCTACAGAGTTGATATATGATTCTATCTTCGCAAACTTTGACATAGAATTGGTGAGCTCTTGCGGTGTTTTGTTTTCAACATGCTCCACAGTGCACGGTGTGATTCACCGCAAATTCATATTGCAATAGCTGGTTTCAATCTGGCCTACTGTAGAAATGACAACTGAAATTGCCAAAATCAGCATGTGTTAACCATACCTCTTTCAAAAGATGAACACAATTTGAGGACTTCTCAGCTAATTGTTCACGTAGGACTTCAATCTCATTTTCAATGTCCATTGCCTAAAAGATAATTAAAAACTTGAAATTGGTCATTTAGAAACCATAATACCATACGATCAAGTATGCAACATAGGCTTGCAATTTCACATGTAGAGTGACATAATAAGTGCATTCTACCTTGCTGGGACAATGCAGCATTTTCACTCTCCGTGCTTCTTGAGCCTTTTCCTTAAGTTCATCCTCATCCTAACAAGGTTTCAAAAAGAAATGGTAAACAGATATGTACAATTCAGCTTGAAACTAGAGGAACTCTAAATATGGAATCTCTCTTAGCATAAATGAATCACAAGACACAGGCAGCTGGAAATTAGGGGTTTAGGGTTGAAAGTGCCTAAGACATGTAGGAAATGACAACAAATGTAACAAGAAGAAGATATCTACCAACAAAAATGATTTATTATGACTTCATACATCAATGTTTAATGTTGCATATATCTCATAGTTATTTCAATAAAATAAAAGAACATAGTGTTCCTACCACCTACCTGTTTCCCATTTATTTGAGGATCAATTTCTTGCTCTTTAACTAATTGTTCAACTTTTTGTACAGCAGCTCTAGCATTATCTATCTCTATGCGAGCGTTAGATCTTTCTTCTTCAACAATTCTCCTGGCATCTTCAGAAGCCTGTATGAAAATACAGAAAAACAAGCAATGATTGAAAAGGGATGAACACATGAAGGTATACCAATGGATAGATCTACCCAAGGCGATATTAAACACGATTCTACAAGAAGCCGGTAAAAAAACAGTAATTATTGTCAGCATGCTTATATCTGAACCATATTGAGGAAATCAGGTGGAAGTCCTAAAACGTGTTATTCAATAAGCTGTGATTACATGTGACTGAAATTTCACTCTGTATTTTGGAAGGGAAACCACTAGTACTTCAATAGTTCAGTTCCATAGTATAATACAGTCCCAACATAAGAAGCATTCTATTGTTCATTAGTACTGCATATTGTTCATAGGAAGAACTCAACTTTCCTTACTAGCAATTTAGCGAAACAGAGAACACTTAAAAACAATGGAACCTGACATTTTGCTATAACAATAAAAAACCAAAAGTGAATGTCACAAGATGCTAAAAGTATGTTGACCGATGTTCATAGCATGCATACACTACTGAACTACAAGAAATTTTGGACGCACCAGTTTCAATGAGGTTGCAATTTTGGCAACCTCTGCCTTTTGCTGCAGCAACTCGTCTTCTCTTTTAGACAGCTGAACTGTTAAAACATCCACCTATAGAAAGTACCAAACTATTAAAACAGCCCACAGAAAAGGCACCATTTTTGCATATGGAGCTTGGAGGGAAAAAAAAGGACAGAATAGTAGCCTCTTTTGAAAACACATGCAACACAATTAAAGATAAATAGCAACACCATTAGAAAAGTTACAAATTGAGTAGCAACAATCCTTGGTGAAAAATCAAAATATGGTTCATAACAAGAAACAAACCATAGAAAGGGACTCCTCAATTTCATCCTTATGTTTCCCTGCAACTCGACTTCTCAGCGATTCTAATACACTCTTTAGATTTTTCAGAAGGATGTCTCGCTCCAATAAAGCAGCTTGTCTCCATTTAACCTGAGAGTTCAAGATTTCAAGGTGAGGCCAGATAGACAACTTTGATTTATATAACTCCATTCATTCAAGTATTGGGCCAATCGTCAAAGAGCATTCAGGAGGACAGGGCCTAAAACAGGTAAAAGTTCCATACCTCATTAGACAACAATGTGGCAGTGTTAAGACCCTTCTCAAATTTCATAGCAAGCTCACGGACTGAAAGGCGCTGACTCCGATGAAGTAGGTCTGCTGTTTCCTTGGCAACAGCCTCTTTCAGAGATGGCATTTCTTGATCATCTGTCAATTTGATAACTATCCCATTCAAACTCTTCTTGTATGTAGGGAATTTATTTCTGATGAAGTTTGCAGGACGCAATGGCCCTGACCAGAGGACATCATTATGTGTCTTCCGCCCGAAATCAATTGTGGACGCCCGCGTCATTTATACAGCACCCTCAACCTTGACTAAATAGCAGGCTTTACCCCTCAATAGTTTACAGCTGGCCACAGTAAATTATCATTAGTTGAAATGCTCGATAATTATAGTTTGTTTAAAATGTGCATCCATAATCATTAGGGGAAGTCAACACCATCAAAAAAATAAAAAGGAAAGAGTACAAATAAAATGCAGTGTCCATAGATAATAAAAATATAAGACAAAAGCAAGTGCTGGTCGGTTTCAAACAAAATAAGTGCTGGATATCATAGTATCATCTAGCTGCACACAAGTGCTACCACCAAACCAATTAACCAAACCTCATGCGTCGCAAGTATTGAAGTATAAACAATACTGGTCACTAAACTCAAAGTTACAAATCTGTATTGGAGGCTACAGACCAAGTAATTGTTACACTTAAATTCCACTATGAAGGACAGTTAGTAGTACCAGATGGTAAAGCTATAAACTACTAGTGCAAATTTGTCAGTGGAATAGGGAAAAAGGACGTTCATGTATGATTAAAGTGATCGGTGGGGAACAAAAGGTTAACCAATCACCAGGTAGCATCAAGTACAGTTGGAAATTTTCAAACATTGTAGCTGGCATCAGCCAAAAAATAGTAGTTACTCTAATCTTGCGAACAACAAAAATAATTTGGAGCTGAAAGACCTTTGCAATTTTATTACAAATGAAACTAAACAACACAGTTCAGAATTCATGGGTAAACTTAAGCTTAGACATAGCAGAGCTATTCAATTCATGCACAGTTCTTCTGGGCTTCTGGCTACACGGCACTCGTACGAAAATTAAAACTGAAGTAAAGGCGCATGAATTCAATTCACTATCGGGACATGTTTTCTAGTAGGTTCGTTGGCAAATCATTGCTAGTATATACTCCTGCGCTAACCACCTCGCCACTCCACGCAAATGCGAGTGCAATTCCGTACTAATTTCCTTATACAATTCTTGTTTCAAAAATATATATAATTTGCTTAAATTTTCATCAAATAATGCACTATAGCAGACTCATACTAGCAAAATAAACAGAGAGAGAGAAAAAAAATATAACCTTCTGCCAATCTGCCTCCCAATCGTCCAGCCATTCAAAAGCAGTAAGTAGAAAGATGAACAAACAAAAAACACACACAAAAGAAAAAGAGAGAGAGAAACTAAAAAAGAAAAAACGCACAGAGAAAACAGGAGAGGGAGCTAGAGGTCTTACCAAGGAGCTTCCAGAACGCAAACCCGCCGGCAGCCGGCTCAAATGGCGCTCGCTCGCCGGGATCCCGCGGCAGCTGCACCCACGGCGGCGAGGCTGATTCGGCGAGGAAAATGTGGCGCAAATCTGGGGGAGAGAGAGAGATTTTGGTGCGGGTTTGCCTCTCTCTCTCCTCTCTTTTCTCTCTTCTTCTCTCGCGAGCGGGTGCGAGCTTTGAATGGCAGTGGCGACTGGCGACGCGGGGGTGGGCCCTACCAAGGAAAAAGTGGGGCCCACATGTCAGTGGGCCCACCGGAGGATCGCGGGTCAGGTGAGAGTCATCACAGGGGCAAGTGCGATCCGGGGACACGACACGACTCGACTCCGCTCCCCCCGAGATTCCCTCCGGGCGGCGCTGCGGGCCGTAGGATCTCGATCGGACGGCGGAGGATAGTGGGAAGGGGTTTCGCGACCGTTCCGTTGATGGCGCGGGGCGCGTCGTGGACCCCACACCTTCCACCGGTAGTACTCCGTAGTAGTAGGAAGTTGGGATAATTCTTGTCTGTTTCTGTCTGCACTTCGAATTTTTCTTCTTCGTATTTTTTTTCATTTTGATTGAATTTTCAGGGGAGCTGAACTTCATCTGCAAATTGGAATATTCAATTTGATTTCAGGGCGTTTGGGACGCATGATTTTTCACAGGGTTCTCATGTAGTGCTAACTTGCTAGTAGGAAGTTGTTTGTTCAGTTGTGTTGTCAGTCTTCACAAGCCACATGTGTGGTTATTTATAAAGCTGAAGAGTTCACCAAAAATAAAAAGGACATTGCGTCGCCTCTGAGCATCGTCAAGTTAGAAGTTAATAAGAGCATCGTCAATCACATGGTTTTAATTTTTTTCTCCTCTTTTTTTTTCAAACAAGAGTAATAGATGTGGTTAGCAGCTGCATCTCGTTGGTGCTACGCATGTGCTCGGCTTTGACTTCGCAGGATTGATTGAATCGATCCCGGGAACAGCGGGCTATACATGTAGCTAGCGCGGTTGGTATCTGCAAATCTGCTAACATAAGTAAGAGCAAGTTTAATAGTATAGTCAACTACTGACTTTAAATTATCTATATCTAATTTAATAGTTTGTTTATATTATCTATAAACCATTAATATATGGTCACGCCTCGAACCTTTTAGCTCTGCTCATTTCTAGTAACGGAATAGGGGCGCAGCCCTTGATCAAAAAAAAATATGGTCACGTCTCTCATACACACAACGTATTGGAGTTTGTTGTGCAGTTGGCTATAAATCTGTAGATCGCTTTCCTTCTTTCTTCTCTTCTCTACTCCACATGTGCTTACAACTGACTTTACTCCCTCCGTTTCAAAATGTTTGACACCGTTGACTTTTTAGCACATGTTTGACCGTTCGTCTTATTAAAAAAATTATGAAATATATAAAACTATATGTGTACATGAAAGCATATTTAACAATGAATCAAATGATATGAAAAGAATAAATAATTACTTAAATTTTTTGAATAAGACGAATGGTCAAACACGTACTAAAAAGTCAATGGTGTCAAACATTTTGAAACGGAGGAAGTATCATGCTATTGTACTCGCTCTGAGAATGCCGTGCTAGCCCAATCGCTTCGCCTGCACTCGATTATAAGCTATAACACTTATTAAAAGAAATAAAACTATAATTAAAAAACCATCAAATCAGTTTTAAAATTTAAATTTTAACTACATCTTATAGATTTAGCTTAAGAGTAAATGAACAATATCTCTTTAGAAATTAACCATGTGTTGTTGATAAATCCAAACGCCGGGGTCATGAAGCCGCCATGCTCGCCAATCGCCAGCTGCTGGTGTTGATCCGATCGATCGATCGATCGATCCATGTCACACCATAACAGCGACCACGCATTTCTTCGACACAAGACATACAATTACTACTAGCTATACTAGAGTAGCCAATCACTATAAAATGCTTCAGTTGCTTTCTACCAATAATATTATAATCTACGAGCATATCCTCTCTTTGTCCCCTAAAATATAATTCTAGAGATGAAACTGGACAAGCATCGAGGAGTACATCTCTAGCTAGTACAGTAGCTGATTAGCCATGTTACGACTCAAGTCGAATAATCAAGGAGCAATCTTTGTCATGTGTCTTCAAAAAAAAAAAGAATCCTTGTCATGTCTGCAATCATGCATAAATGGCCGTGGATTTAAGAAGAGGATGATTATCCATTGAAGAGAAGTCATGGGTGTCCATTATCTACGATGTCCTGAACTGATAACAATCATAAGTTCCAATAACATACTCCAACATTGGAGTATTTGGTGATTCAGGTTCTGTATCTTTCTGGCTGAGCTGAGTTCAACACTTCAACTTGAAGCAATCATGTACTCCAACATTGGTAGTACATAAATAATGGCAACGAAGGCAGATCAATGTGGGACAAAAGAAGGTGAAAGGATAAATTCTGAATCTATCAACGCCGTGTTTAGTTCCAAAATAATTTTTCAAACTTCCAACTTTTCTATCACATCAAAACTTTCCTACACACAAACTTCCAACTTTTTCGTCACATCGTTCCAATTTCAACCAAACTTCTAATTTTGATGTAAACTAAACACAGCCCAAGTGTAGTACCTGGATTTTTCACATTTTGGTCCTTTTGAAAAACTTATTTCGCAAATAGACCCCTGAAAAAACTTATCCCAGAAATGATCCTTTTTTGGACGCCAGAGTGGCTGGCGCCGTCATCCAACAGGACGGCGCCAGAGAGGATGGCGCCGTCCTCCTGCCACCGTGGCGCACGCGAACCGACGTGGCAGGAGGAGGGCGCCAGCCATGCTGGCGCCGCCGCCTCCATTCCTGTTTCTCTATATAGAGTTGCAACGGTGTCATTTTTATTTTATTTTTTCGGATGTTTTTTCACACTTAGGATCACGATACAACCAACCACAAAAAAAATTTAAACTCGAACTACCACTTAACTAAGTCTGAAAATAGCTAGCATACCACTTAGTCTACTTTGCACCTTCACTAAAATTAGACCATAATTCCTTTAGTAAAACTCTTTGATCAGCATGTTAAACATAATGCACTCTACCACTATATGAAATTACTTAATCTAATTCAAAATATAACCACATGAAATGACATATATAAGTTAAACAGTACATAGAGATGCAATTTTTTTTATTTTTATTTCATTTTTTTGATATTTTTTTCACACTTAGGAGAACATAGGAACCAACCGTATAAAAAATAAACTCAAACGGATAAAATATGTGACTTGTAGAATTTTCCAAAACTCTACCGAAACGGACAAAATATGTTATCTATTAAAATAGGCGTAACTTTCTCATACGCACTCAGAATCAGGCAAATAATATATGCACGGACATCTACAGAAAATGTTACATCCGATTCTTCCCAGCTTTGCTGGGTTCGGCGATATTAAAACCTCCAAATTCCGCTTGCAAGATTGTGTTTTCGAGGAGAGAAGTTTTTCGGTAGAACTTTGGAAAATTCCACATGCCACATATTTCGTCCGTTTGAGTTTATTTTTTACATGGTTGATTCCTGTGAGTTCCTAAGTGTGAAAAAAATATCAAAAAAATAAAATAAAAATAAAAAAGTTGCACATCTCTCCTTTGCACTAGTTCGGAGAGAGAGGAGAGGAGAGGAAAAATTCTACAGGTCACATATTACGTCCATTTGAGTTCAATTTTTCTATGGTTGGTTTTTGTGTGTCCCTAAGCGTGAAAAAAATATCAAACAAATAAAACAAAAATAAAAAATTTCGGGGGGGGGGGGCGCCAGCCACTCTGGCGCACTCCCTAGCCACCTCAGCATCGCCCCGCCACATCGGCAAGGGGACGGCGCCAGAGAGGCTGGCGCCATCCTGTTGGACGACGGCGCCAGCCACTCTGGCGTCCCAAAAAGGACCATTTTTGGGATAAGTTTTTCTAGGGGTCTATTTGCGAAATAAGTTTTTCAAAAGGACCAAAATGTGAAAAATCCACAGTGTAGTACCAAGATGGTTTTCAGTTTTCACCTGAGGGGTGATCCATGTGACAGACGTACAGTAGTTGTAGTACCTTTGCAGGTGTTCTGAACCAGTATTCTCCATTATAGTGCCATAATTGACAATCGGTACATGATAATCGGTAATGCCGTGCAGAGTGTTTTTTTTTTCTGAACCAGTATTCTCTATGTCCTACCATGTGTACTCCTAATTTGTCCAATACAACTATACTGCATTTTTACTGCTACATATCTGCAATCTGTTAGCAATCCAAAGTCCCAGAGCTTCAGAGAGAGGGGGGAGTTGGAAGGAAACCTGATGCAGGATAGCAGTAGCACCAATGGTCAGAATAAGAGCAGACAAGCTTTATATCATCCTAACCCAAGGACCACTATTGATCTAACCGTAAAGACAAAACAATGACAAAATGACAAGAGAAAAATTAGAGCTTTGTGGTAGAGACCATGTGCTTGAGTTCCCCAGATGAGCAGGTTTCAACACTGGCTGGGTTCTTGCGTCGTTTGTGTAGTACTCCCTCCATTTCACAATGTAAATCATTCTAGCATTTCCTATATTTATATTGATGTTAATGAATCTAGACATATATATTTATCTAGATTCATTGACATCAATATGAATGTGAGAAATGCTAGAGTGACTTATATTGTGAAACGGAGGAAGTACTATAATAGTGGAAAATGCTAGAATAACTTACATTGTAAAACGGAGGAAGCACTATAATACTGGTAACTTTGTAAACCTTGATTTCAGAGGGAACCCACTCTATTACAAGTGCGTACCACTACTAGTCTACACATCGAAAATTCCAAGTTGCAAAAAGGAAAAAAAAGAAAAGAACTTGCGTCCAGACTCACACTCCTAATTTTTAAGTTAAATCTACAGTACGAAAGGGCCCAGCCCATTGCTCTGTCGGGCTCTCGGCCCATGATACTCCTAATTTCTCTCTGGGTCCCCGCTTCGATAAGGCCCATATAAAGCCTTGAATAGAAGAATCGAGCCCATGGACACACGGCTCCGGCTCGTCCACGCCCAATCGCATTCGCATCGTGATTATTCTCTCTCTTCCTGGTCACACTCACGCCACCGCCACGGGCTAAGATTCCACCGGCATCTTTGCCCTTGATAACACCGAAAGTTTTCCCGGTTTC